GCGGCATAAGTGCCTGCCTTGCAAGCAGGCAGTCGTGAGTTCGATCCCTGGTACCGATAAAAACGAAAAAGACAAAAAAAAAAAAAAAAAAAAAACTGAAGCAACAGCCACCAAAAACAATTCAGTCGCTACTTTAACTGAATTATGCAAATTGATTCTTCTGCGTGTCCTTAATCTCTGCATTTTGCAGAGATGCTTTTCTCCCTACCTAGCTAGCCAGCTCTCATAATTCCCCACCAGCATTACTGTCACTCATCTTCAAATCACCCCCCTTCTTTCAAAATAATAAATTCGGGGAGAAGCCTAGGATCAAGGCATCCCCTGTGAGGAAGAGGGTTGCACTTTGGACCCCTTGGCTGCCCTTAACTTGGAATATATCTTGGTGTCTTTACTCTTGCTGAGGGTTGCATTGGAGGTGGTAGATTGGAATTATCTTGCTGAGATTCCAATAACGTCCTAATGGGATTATAAACATAATTTTTTGAATTGTGAGGAAGACTGGAAAAGGGCTTATAGTACTTGGATAACTATTGGGATCACAATACCAAGGGGCCCAAAAGTCTTAACTCTTGTAGCATTGCTCAAAAGCCTAAATCCAAAATTCTCTCTGAAACTGGTGTGGTGGCACAGGCATGTAATCCCAGCACTCAGGAGGCAAGCGAGGAGAGGCACTCTGAGTTCAAGGCCAGCCTGAACTACATAGCAACACCCTGGCTCAAAACAAAACAAAGGTCTCTTCTGAGGATCAAGGTAAACTTTTAGCTCTGAGTCTTTGAAAAAACCAAAAGCAAGGTATATACCTCCAAGACACAGTAGAATAAGATAAATATTCCAGTTCAAAAAGAGGATTAGGGGGACAGAAAGGAAGGACCAGACCAAAACCCATCACGGCAAAAATCAAATCCTATAGCTCCATGTCTGGCACTTGGAGCACGCCATGGTATGATATGAACCCCAGAGGGCTTGTACAGCACTGCCCCTGCCAAGCTCTGCCAGCTGCCAACTTGTCACACACGGCCACTCCTGCTGGGCTGGCTCCACTTGCTGCCTGTGGTGTTCCTCGCACACGTCCCACGTTCGTGGCATCGCTAACTTCCAGGATCTTCAGTGCCGCTTTGGTTTTACCTCACAGCTTCATGCATCACCCTCTCAGGGTCTGCTTGCAGCAACCTGGACTCTATCCCACTTTGCTGGCCTCCTGGGTCTTCCTTTGCAATCTCTGGAAAGCTCTATGACCCCATTTTGCATTCTGCATGTCTGAAAAACCAGCACCACGTGGAAAACACGAAAGTCTCCCTTCAAGAGCTGCAGCTGGACCTCTTGGATCACAGCTACACTAAGGGCTGAATGGTGGGAGTAAGGGATTTCTGGAAAACAGTCTCCAGGTGGCCCTGGGTAAGCAGTGCACTCCAGGCCTGTCTTCTCAAAGTGAAAGGGTTGCTGACCCAGACCGCACACTGTAGCCAGAAAAAGCCTCAGCCGGAATTAGGGAGCGCCTGCCTCCCCCGCCCCTAGATATTTACCTGTAACCCTGTACCCCCCACCCTTCGGAACCTGCCCCACGCCAAACGTGTGCCAATGACATACCTGTGCATCTCTAATGGCCTTAGGGCACTGCCCTAAGCACTGCCCTAAGCTTAGGCTACTTATATTCCCCCACGCCAGGTGTCCGCGTGAGAGAGATCGCCAGATTCCAGCGGCCAGCGCGCCAGTCCTCTCTCCCCGTGTTCCCAGAATAAAGGCCTCTTTTGTTTTATACTCCTCATCTTTTGGAAATATTTTTCATCCTCTGGAAATAATCCTATCACAAAGTAACCATTCAAATTTACACCTTTACACATTAACCTGGGAAGGGTGGAGTCTTGTTGACTCCCAAATACCCTCCAGGTGTCTTTGCTATTACTCAGGTGTGAAGTACTTGGCTTTTTTTTTTTTTTTTTTTTTTTGTCTTTTTCGTTTTTACCAGTACCGGAGATCGAACTCATGAATGCCTGCTTACAAGGCATGCGCTTATGCCGCTGAGCTAAATCCCCAGCCCCCATTACTTGGCTTTTTAATGGCTTCTCTTTAACAACCTTGAATGCAACTTTTTATACAAGCTTTTTTTCTGGCAAACTCCAAGTTTTTCAGGTCTTTCTGTTATGCTTTTCTCTCAGATTTTCACTATAAATCTGGCCCAAAGCAGACAGCACTATCCATGCTACTGCCTGCATGCTACAAGGAGGAAATTTCCTCCATCAAATAAACTAGTCTGTCACCTTTAAATTCAGCCTGCTACAAAGTTCCTGGGAATGCATCAACAGGTGAATGAATAAAGAAGTCGTTTGCTTTTTTAAAAAATAAGGGGCTGGGGATTTAGCTCAGCGGCATAAGCACCTGCCTTGCAAGCAGGCGGTCGTGGGTTCGATCCCCGGTACCGATAAAAATGAAAAAGACCAAAAAAAAAAAAAAAAAAAATACAATCGAGTACTACACTTCAAGCATTTCTAGCTAAATAGATGCACCTTCACACTACACTCCTGAAATAAACTGGACACACACATTTAAATACTGCATTGTTTTTCTGGTGTGAGAAAGCAAAAGTGTAAGTAAGGATCAAAATTTAGAACACATACTGGGACACAGGAAGAAAATGTTTAAATGAGAAGGGGAATAAGGGAGGAGGGAAGCAGAGGGAAGGAAAACACCAGGAAAAAGACTAACAAGGACAAAAATGGCAACAAAGCTTTTGTAAACGAGGGAAGAGAGTTGAAGGGAGAGTAGGGGAATGGGAAAAGAGCAGGATGTATCAGGTGCAGGTACAAATTCCACATGATGAATGTTACCAATGTGTGTATCAGAAACGTACCGGTAAAGTGTGAAAATGTTTCTGGGCATGGATAAGACGTTCCTGAGTTTATTGCTGAGCGGTTGTTAGCGGCTGAGCTGCCAGAGGAGGGGGACACCTGAGTGTGACTGAGTGTATTCCTGTCCCCAGCCCCTCCCTTTTGCCTCAGGGTAGGCAGGTTTTTCCCCCTGGCCCTTCTGGCCTTGGAGCTACCAGGTCTGAATCCTGTGTAAATCAGGAGCCAAGATAAACCTCTCCTCCTTTTTATTGCAGATGTTGGGTATTTTGTCCTAGCAACAGGAGAAAATCTTAGAAATGTTTCATTAGACACGAAGGTGACTGTAACATCTCCCCGAAACCCCTCTTCTAAACCAAGCCTTCAACACAGGAGCTCCGGAGAACATTTAGGATCCACATCATAATATGCCCTCTATTTGGCTTATTTTGTTTCAGAAACCAGAATTTTTGACGTGATCTGGGGTTAACTGTCCACAGGAGCACGGATGTCACTTTATCCTGCTCAGCTCTGCAAGTAAAACACACAGATCTGATCTGAGGTTTACCTTTATGAAAGTCCTGGCTCGACTCCCATGGCATTCCACAATGTCAGACCAAAGCTCTCCACTTCTTGAGGTGTTGTCTCCCTTCCCATTCAACTGCCCATATGTCTGTCTTTTAAGTCTCCTTCTTTTAAAGGTGCACACGATCTAAAGCAGCACATCCCAGCAGAAATAAAAGGAAAAGCACAAGTGCAAGCCATACATGTAATCTTAAATTTTCAGGTATCACATCAGCAAAACAGGTGAAAACCACATGTTGGTTCACACCTATAATGCCAGCCCTCCAGGAGACTGAGGCAGGATGATTCCAAGCTTGTGCCCAATCTAGCTAATTTAGTGAGACCCTGTCTAAAAATAAAAAAGGACTGGGTATTTAGCTCTGTGCAGTTTCTGGGTTCAATCTCAAGTACCAAAAACATAAAAATAAAATAAAAACAGGTCGAAGTATTCTTAATTTCCCTTTTTATAGGTATCAGCACTTGGAAATAGAGGTATTCTCCATTCATATTTTTGGCATTAAATCTTTAATATATGACATTCACTCAATAGCACTATGAGGCTGAGGCAGGAGAATCTCTGTAAGTGTTCATTAGTATTCAATGTAGCTATGGGCTACTGAGTTGGACAGCAGACAGCCTTGCTATTCAGTGTGGTCCACAAAGTAGAAGCATTAGACACGTATTAGAAACAATCTTAAGCCCTATTCCAGACCTGTTGAATCTGAATCTGCATTTCAACAAGAGTTTCGGGTGATGTGAACATACAAGAAAGCTGGAGAAACACTAGTCTCAGGCAGAAGCCAGCAAGCTATGGCCCACAAGCCAACTCCAGTCAGCCATGGTTTTTCTTTTGCACCAGGGATCGAACTCATGCCCTCACACTTGCCAGGCAGGTGATTATACCATGAGCCAAATCCCTGGGCAGCCACCTGGTCTTGTCAGTAAACTTACTCAGATCTAGCCCCATTCACTTAGTTAGTGTGCCTGGCTGTTCCTGTGCTTCCAATCAGAGCTGAGGAGTTGCAACTGAAACCTTAGGGCCTGCAAAGCCTTACTGGCTGGGATATTAATAAATGGCAACTACTAAGCATTGCAATAGCCGAACGGCGTGAGAGTTGACTGGAAAGGAGTACACATTTGAACGTCACTTAAAGGCTGTATGAACTTAAGTCACTTAACTTGAGGCTAAGTGACTTGTCTAAAGTTGGGGCTAGCACCTATCTTCATGGTTAAAGACAGGACATGGCACAGGACAGATATTCCATAAATGGTAGTTTTGTTCATATACAGTAATACCTCAGCTCACGAATGCTTCTGTTTGCAGACAATTTGGTTTGCAAATAAAAGCGTTAGGCAAAATTCTGTTTCAGTTCATGAACTCTGCCTCAGGTGACACATATGACCAAGGCCATTTTCCCCATACACACACAAACACAGCCATCTTCCCCCAAATCATAAAATAAGTTAAGTTCACAAACACAAGCACCATTGTACACATGCTACTAGCTGGGTCAGACTACAGTATAACAAACCAGATGAAGCTGCCTATTTAGTTCCTATGGTCTTCCACCCCTGTTATTTTCTGTGACTTAAGTCTATAATCCACAAGCAGAATTTAAGGACAGCAAAAAGGTTTATTTGAAAAAATTACTGTGTATTGAAAATATACATTAGAAATTATTACATACTTCCATAGTATTACCCTCCCCACCACAAAAGTAGAAATATCTGCTTGCTATCCTAACATCATAGGTAAATTCAAACAAAACGTAAATTATCAGTCCCATTTCTTCACACGCTAGAGTTGAAGGAAGAAACATCAGCCTTCATCTGCCAGTCAGTAGGAGTTTAACAAGTCCCAGTCTTCCACAGCAAGACACACATATTTCTGCTTTGAAGCCTGTGAAGAATTACTCTGCGTCTGCTCTGACTCCTCAAAAGTTCTCTTGTTCTTCTTTGACTCTTGGTTGGAGGAAGCTTCGTGTTTCAACAATGGCCCACGACAGTCCAGAGCTTTCTCTTTATAGAACTGGAGTTTTCCAGAAGAGTTCATGTGAGTGTCTGCCAGGGCGCACATCCTCGAGGTTCCCACCCGTACTCTTTTCGGACCTAGAAGAGCAACAGGGAGGTGTGACGTCACTAAGCCAGCATGCTAGGGCTGGGAGGAGACCCACGGGAAAGCACAAAGCCCTACACACTGAGTTCTGGAGCTGATGCACTTTGCTGCACATCGGGTAGCAGTGGCATGTGTGCCAGCACGCGCACACAGTATGGACGCACACCGGATTATGATAGATGAGTGTGGGTCAGAGACTCGTTGGAGGTTCCGTGTTTTCATCGTTCTAAGAATATAAAAACCTATTTTATAAGGGTGACATGGAGGTGACACTATGGCCTTATTTTGTATCTTCTGGTATGCCCTGGCTTCTTATTTTGTTAACTTTACATTTCTTTCATTTTGATTTCGTCACCTTATTCCTCTTTAAAATTATGGTAAGATATACATGACACAAAATTTATTAAGTATTTCTAAGTGTAAATTCAGTGGTATTAAGCACATTTACACTATGCCATCACCACCATCTATCTCCATCCAAACCTTTTTAACTTGCAAAACTCAACTTTTGTAACTATTAAATGGTAGTAAATAGTTCTACTCAGTAACTCCCTGTTCTTCCCTCTCCCCAGACCCTGACTACTCTACAAACCTTACAGAAGAACTGTCATGAATTTTAGAAACAGGGGCTGGGGATTTAGCTCAGTGGCATAAGTGCCTGCCTTGCAAGCAGGCAGTCGTGAGTTTGATCCCCGGTACCGATAAAAAGGAAAATGACAAAAATAAATAAATAAAGTATTTTAGAAACAGCATTTGTAACAAAATTCCCTTTTCTTATGTTTTATTCACCTGTGGATGGATGTGTGGGTTCCATCCTCCGTCAGGACCTCCTGCATGCTAAGCAAGGCATCTGTCACTGAACTACATTCCAACCCTGTTTCCACCTTTGGTTACACTTAATTCCTTTGTAATCTTTTGTACTATACAGTGCTGTAGTTTTGTAGTACCACAAATCTTGGAATAAGATAGGCTATAAATAAGTAATTGTAAGATGCTATCTTCCTGGTGCTGGTACTCAAAGCTAAGTGTGACTTACTTCTTAAGCTATGAAAAGGAATACTAATTTTGTTGTTGTTGTTTGGTTGGTTGGTTTTTGAGACAGGTTCTCAGTATGTAGTCCAAATTGGCCTTGAACTCACTGTGTAGCCCAGGATGGCCTCAAACTTGCAGTTATTCTCCAGCCTCAGCCTTCTGAGTGCCGGAATTACAGGAATACTAGTCTTAGTGATCATAAGTAAGTCACTACTATCATAATTTTACCATTGAGAGAAGACAGGCTGATTACTTTAAGGATGCAAAAACCCACAGGGCAAAAGTCCAAAAGAAAAGAAAATTTCTCACAGAAGTACTGAGGTGTCATTCGAGGTTCAGGCTTCAAGGCTTCCACAAGCAATCGATCCCACTGCAGAACGATCTAAAAGGTTATTCAGAAAGATGTGACTCCAAACACAATTTAAGCTTTTATTCTTAAACCTTTCTCTTCTCTTTTCTTATGTTTACTTTTTTTTTTTTTCGTTTTTATCGGTACCAGGGATCGAACTCACGACTGCCTGCTTGCAAGGCAGGCGCTTATGCCGCTGAGCTAAATCTCCAGCCCCCTCTCTTCTCTTTTCACAAACACAAACCCCAGTAGTAAATACTATTTTGGACAATTGGTGACAAAAGCAAGAATCTAGTCAAGCTGGACTTTCTACTGTCACACAAGAGTTGAGTCAGAAAAAGAAAGGTGGATGTATGTATCTGTAAGACTCAGGCAAAGTCTATAAAACCACCTCTGTCTATTCCTATCTTTATTTGAAGCCAGAAATAAGTTGCATATCCTGAAACTAAACACAGTACTAAAATTTAAAACCTTAGTCATGATCCTTTTTATGTATTTCCAGAAATCTCTTATACCCTAAAATACACACACTGTAACTCAAACTCACGTGCATAAAATGCTTGCTTTTTTTTTTTTTTTTTTTTTTTTTGGTACCGGGGATCAAACTCACGACCTCAAGCTTGCCGGGCAGGCGCTTATGCCACTGAGCTAAATCCCAGCCCCAATGCTCACATTTTCATATTCTCGTAACACTTCGTGATCAGTCTTTCTTTAATTGTTAAAAATGCATCACTGCTAGAAGCTACTACAAATTCTTTTGGACATTTGACTGAATACAAAATAGATAAAAATATAAGAAACAAAAACAGATGATCATTTCAATTTACCATGAGTAACAAGAATGCTGCATTTACTATTTCTCATGATATATAATGAAATAACCATAAAGACAGCCACAAAAAATATTTTCAAGGCACAGAGCAGGACAGTGAAGTTTGAAAATAAATTTTTTAGAGTTGGCTGCACCACTCACTAGCCAGGAGACCCTCGGCTAGAGTTTCAATTTCTTAAATTCAATTTCTTTATCTCAGAAACAAGCATTAGTAAGAGGACATATTCTATAGAGCTGTGACAGGGAGAAGGAACATGCATGACACGCTGAGCACAGCCTGGCACACTTGGTGAACACCGCTCGCAGACCCTCCTATGGTACCTTCCCAGGGTAACAATAGACCAACCAAATCTGCTGATATACTACTAAAAGTAAAAATGCCCATAAGAAGAGATATTTGGGAGCTGAGCATGGTGGCACGTGCCTGTTACCTGTTATTTGGGAGATTAAGGCAAGTTTAAGCCCAGCATGATCAACTTAAGCAAACTTTGCCTCAAAATAAGAAATGGCTAGGTGTGTGCCTTGTGAGGGTCCTGGCTCAGTTCAGCCTCAGTAACACGCATGTGCACACACACACCAGGGTGGGGGGTGCTATTTGGAATGGAAAGAAGAAAATAAGCTCAGTTCCAAACAAGCTGAACTTGAGATGCCAGGCCAATCTGTGGACTATATTTGAGAATGGTTCTAGTGTCTGATAGGATATAGTTATCCTTGCACGTACAGTTAAATCTCTGAGAAAAGCTAAAATCACTGGGGTAGCAGAGTATAACAGAGAAGGAAGAAAAGAGGAAAACTGCAAGGCATGCACGCATTTTTATAACAAATCTACAGAAATGCTAAGGCAGCGAGGAATGAGGTCACTGGCCACATTCTGAGAATACTTCCAGTAGAACAGTGGAGGCAAGAAATAGACTGCAAGAACTTACCTGGGGAGGAGTAGGCAGTGGTCATTTGGAGAGTAAGAACAGGAAATACTGAGAGGGAGCAGCTTGTAGCCCTACCACTCCAAGAGGCTGAGATAGGAGAATCACCATGAGTTCGAGGCAGCCAGGGCTACACAGTGAGTTTAAGGTTAGCCTGGATATGCTGAGATCCTGTCCCTAACACAGCCAACCAAGCAAAAATACAGAGCTATGCTGGGGAGTGAAGATAGTTTATACACAGAAATAAAAATAGTCACCAGTACGTGACAGTCAAGACACAGAAAGTAGGGGAAAATAATTATTAGTAAGTATCAGAGAAGAAGCTGGGGACTTTTGGGAAAATGATTTTTAAAACAGAGAGAGAGAAAAAAAGGAACTTGTCACTGATATAAGGCAGGATATCTGTTCTTCTTAACTAGGAGGTAAGTACAACAGTGTTAAAGAAAAGGAAAAACTTTCAGCTAGAGATAGAAAAGTGAGTGGACCTGCCTAGGTGAGCTCATTGTCCTGTGTCATCTGCTGAGGTCAGACAAACAGTTTCAATGGGATCGACAAGAGATAAGGCAAAAGCAGTGCCACCAAACTTAGGAGTCCCACTGAGGTTGGATGACAAGAGGGGGCACCACCTAGCCTAGTCAACTTACTTTCAGGCCAGTGGCTATTTTACTCAATCCTTTCCAAATTCTGTCAGATGAAGAAACAAAGACTCAAAATCGCCTTTGATCACATGACTTAGGTGTTTGAGCTGACATTCGGAGCCCGAATCTGAGTCAACCTGGGCTGTTTCCACCTTCCCACCTGCTGCTGAACTGCATAAAGTCTTTGAGGACCACCCCATACCTGTGCCTAGTGGTCTGGGGGGTTGCTCTGAATCGTCTGCTCAACTTGGTAAAGCACAGGCTTAAATAGGAAGCCAGAAAGTAGCCGAGCAGAGCAGTGCAAGTTAATCCCAGCTTGCCTATGCGTAGTGCCCTTCCCCTCTGACATTTTCAGTGAAGGTTCTTGGCAGACACCTAGGGTAATCATCAAGCTATTCTGTCCTGGACCCTCTCCGAGGCTCCAGGTCCAGTACAGATGTTGGATCAATCCAACTGCCTGATTAGCATCAACTCCCGGAGGTGAGACAGTGGTGACACTGGCAGGAGAGACAGCGGTGCAGGGCTCTTGGAGCTGATCCAGAACATGCGTGATGGGATAACTGACAGCACTTACGGCACGGGAGAGTCAGCCCTGAATCTTTATCAGTGTGGCACCAGTTTCTTCTCTCCTATATACACACATGAAGAGAATCTGTCCTGAAGCTAGGTCAAATGGTTTTTGTGTAAGCCAAACTGCATTTATTTTTTGAGTCTTTTGTAAAATAGCATTTTCTTCCAGGTTCAGTAAAGAAGGGGACCAATCTAGTGATCAAAGAATGAGGTATGAGGCCTGGCTTCCAACACTAACTCCAGGAGGTGAGCTGTGGCCCTTTAGTGTTTGACATGAGGAGGACAATTTAGCCAAGGAATAATAACAGGACTATTTGTTCAACATGTTAGATAACACATCTGGAGTTAAGATAAAAACTCATTTTAATTGTAGCAGACAAAAATCTAGAGTACCTGGTCAGCCCAGCCCTCTGTCTTGCAGTTACCATGATCAAATTCCTTCAAAGGCACTTTGGAATGAACAAGGCCTATATGAGTCTGAAGTTTGTGCTTGACAGTTTTGATATCCTAAAGGAAAGACAGACCAGAAATGTGAACACATTCGACTAATTCTTCCTTACAATTCTTCAATAGCACATAATGACCATCTCAAATATCAGCCCTTTCTGAACACCAATTAACAGAAGCAAAATATCAAATTATAAACTTTAGAGAGCTGGGTCTAGTCCTGTAATCCCAGCACTTGGGAGGCTGAGGCAGAAGGACCGTTGTAAATTTGAGGTCAGTCTAAGAAGACCAGCCAGAGCTACAGAGTGAGACCCTGTCTCAATAAAACCAAAATTAATTAATTAATTAATTTAGGAAAATAAAAGAAACTAAAAGTCTTACCTTGAGTCCTGTTCCAGAGATATCTAAACGGTTTAGTTTTCTGAAAGAAAAGAGGTATCCAATTCCTGCATCTGTGATGTCAGGGTTGCCTAGATGTCAAAACAAGGCAGCATTTTGTTACAAAATAACTTCTGCTAAATGCCAACTCTAAGCTCAGGAAAAAAAATCTAGGCAATAAACTATAAAATATCAAGTGGCAAACTTTTCAGAGTACAGGAAATCTAGGGGTTTTATTTTCCCTATTTGTAATACACATAGTCATACTGCGAGATTCCAAAGCTCTTTTCTAGCCCCAACCACAGAGGAACTGGGGATGAACAGAAATGTCTGTAAATCAGACAGTTTTCCCAGAGTTTACTTTGAATCCACATGAAAATGGTATATACAAACATCTACTAAAATGATCCACCATTTATTCAGGGGTTATTTTACCTCTGAAGCAAAAAAATCTTCTTATTAAAAAAAAATTTTCAATGGTGCTTACTACTCTAACTTGCATTTTTTTCCAGAAATGTTTCTCATTTATCATCCCCTCAAATCAGAGTATTGCATTCAGAGCTGTCCTCTCATATTAAGATATGTGCATGGCACTGTGCAGGTACCGAAAGATAAAAAGGTTCTATAATTTACTTCCTTGGGAAACAGGGCAGGGCATTTACTACTGTCATTTACAAAGCTCAAGAGGTTTAAATAGCAGTAGAAGTAGCAAAGCAAAAAGACACTGTGACCTCACCCCTGTTTTTTTTTTTTTTTATTCTTCTGGTACCACAGCAACCTACTTAGGGTCAACAGATACTCAAACACTAAAAAAAATCTGTTGATTTTCTACCTCTGAAGTCTGTATTTGGTTAGTCCTGTGTAAGTCACAACTATGGATTCATCCAGCTTTTCGCTGGCTAAATACTGACTAAAGAAGGATCAAGGATAGTATGACAGACACTGTGGATGAGCGAGTCAAAGAAAACCAGCTTGATGTCCTTCATGTGTACCACAAACAGTAATGGCGGCTGCCCTGTGTGCACATGTAAGTGATCGGGTGATGTGAGAGCCCGTTCCCTGCCAACTGGAAGGGGCAACAAACTGAGAGGGGCACTGGCCCTTGGCCAGTCTTGGACTCAGCCCCACTCTGCCACTAGCCTGCTATAGCACCCGGAGGGCCAGCTTTCCTTCATCACTCTAAATAAAGAGGATAAACTGGATGACCACTAAAGACATCCTTCCAACAATAATCAGAGTGCTCATAAAACTTACAAGATAAATCTAACAACATTAGGTTCTCAAGGCCTCTTTTCATCACGCGAACCGGTGCTGTCATCTTCCGCACCCCAGCATCAGATAAACAGTTATCCTTCAGGTGGAGCTGAGTTACACTACGGGAACAAAGCCAACAAATAAATAACTTCACAGAGTTGACAGGCTTTGCAACAGTTTATTCAAATATAAAATACGCTGCACTGCTGTTCTTTCACACTCTTTGCACTGAACCAAATGAAGGCTCTTTCAGGACCATTTGGGTTCTGGAGGGCGGGGAAACCTCCAGATCAGTGTCCTGCAGTACCAATTTCAACAGCAGAGGGCACCATAGAAAGATGGTCCTGAGGTAAACAGGGGCTTCCATTTAGGTGATAAACATACCATGTTTAACACAAAAGCTGCATTATGGATAAATTATATAAAAGTCAAAGGTATTCTAAATAGTACAGAAACCCTGCAAAAGAACTCCTTTGAGAATTCCTTTTGTAAAGCAATTCTGTCACTCTTACTAGCCTTAGGAGTCTAGATTTTCAGACTCAGTTTGTTAAGGAATATCCATAACCCAGTACATCTGGCTGACTTGGATTCGGGATACTAATTTGTTCTGCTGTCCTTCACATTAGAAATTCAAGCCTCAGGGGCTGGGGATTTAGCTCAGCGGCATAAGTATCTGCCTTGCAAGCAGGCAGTCGTGAGTTCAATCCCGGTACTGATAAAAAGGAAAAAGACCAAAAAAAAAAAAAAAAAAAAAAAAAAAAAAAAGAAATTCAAGCCTCAACAGCTGAGGAGTTAGCTCAGGAGCAAGCTCGAGGTTGTGAGTTCAATCCCTGGTACAAAAAAAAAAAGTGTCTATGCTCACTTCAGCAGCACATACACTAAAACTGAAACGATACAAAGATTAGCATGGCCCCTGCACAAGGATGACGTGCAAATTCGTGAAGGAATTCGAACCTCAGATACACCTCTGTACTGGCAGAGAGTGGGCTTCAGAGTCAGGGTGCCCTGCAGCAGGTCAGGTGCAGGGGCATGACCCTCCTGGTGTTGATGAGCACAGACAGGAATCCACCTGGCCGCTGCGCTACCAGCCAGGCTGAGCAACCTCAGATTAGCTGATAGTTTGTGAATCACATGAACTGATTCACAGGATTTCTTTAAACCAGGGCTCTTGAAAAGAACTTATAAGGCAGTCTTTTTTTTTTTAATTTATGCTGAGCTAAATCCCCAGCCCCTAGGCAGTCTTTAATAGTTCATTTTCTGGAGGGACCAAAAATGATAAAGATCTAATACATGTACCAACTCCTCAAATGCTGGTAACAAAAAACAGTTCATTTTCTTTCTAATACATAAAAGCAGCAAACCATAATGACTAAGAAATGATGTGATTTTTCATCTCGTGCTAGAATAAACTAGCTGTGAATAAATGGAAAAAGACTGCAACCAAGTAGGTACAACTGATTTATTGTACTAGGGGTTGTCCAATTTATACTGTTTATACTAACTAAATGAAGGTTGAAAAAATTTTAGAAAAATAAATTAACAAACAAAAGGGGATGGGAGCTGGGCATGATGGTGCATGCCTGTAATCCCAGCACTCAGAAGACTGAGACAAAAGGATCACTAAGTTCAAGGCCACTCAGGCTACAAAATGATTTCAAGGCCAGCCTGAATTGCATAATGTAACCATGTTTCAAAAAAAAAAAAAAAAAAAAAAAAGACAGGAAGTAATCCATATTTCAGAAGATGATCTCGGAGCATGCTTTGAAAAAATGAAAATAATTCACTGACAAGTGATAGCAGGACAGTACCTGGACAGGGCCTCACTGGTGAGATGTTCTAGGAGTTCATGCTCATCTCCAAGTTTGCAACAGGAAAGGTCCAGGCGGGTCAGCTCCCGGAAAGACTTAATCTCCTCGAGCTTTTCTGAAATCACCAGGTATCTGTAGCATATGAAGAACAATGAACAGCTTTTCTTTTCTTCTTTTCATGTTTTTGGTTTTTAAAGATAGGGTCTCATTACACATATAGTTCAGGCTGGCCTTGAACTCATTATATAGCCCACTCTGGTGTTGAACTTGCATTGATCCTCCTGCCTTAGCCTCCCAAGTGCTAGGATTACGTCTTTTCCTTTAAATATAAAAGTTCAATTTGTGGCTTTGTACTACAGTCAGCATCCCATTATCCCACATATTATGTAAAACTGATGACTGTCTGGGCGCAGCCTAAACTTCTGAATTAATAGTTCTTTTTTTTTGTACCAGGGATCGAACTCACGACAGTCTGCTTGCAAGGCAGGTGCTTCTGCCACTGAGCTAAATCTCCAGCCCCTAATAGTTCTTTAATAGTACCTTGACAGTCTTTACGCATGATGCATAGAGAACAAGTCACAAGAGAAAACATCTACTTAGTTATCAAACAGAGGTTGGCATTAGCATTAGGACCTTTGAGACTTTAAAAACTATAGGCTACTCAAGCTTCTAATTATTCTTTTTTTTTAATGACAAAGCACAAGGGCAAAAAAAAAAAATTATTCTTTTTTTTGGTGCTGAGACTCGAACTCAGAACCTTGCACTTGCCAGGCAGGTGCTATTCCGATAAGGTATATATCCCTGGCCCTTTATTTGGTCTTTCAGGGTTGCTTTGTAGCAGGCTATGGTGGCACATGCCTGTGATCCCAGCACTCAGGAGGCTAAGACAGGAAGAGTGCCATGAGTTCCAGTCCAGCATGGGCTACACAGCTAAACCTTGTATCAAAAATGAATAAATAAGTAAAATCAATTAATTAAAAATAATAAAGTTAGTTTTTATTTAAGGTACAATTTCTTGTGATTTGATTTGAAAACTAAAGAAGGCCAAGAACTGTGGGTCTACTCTGCACATTCCCCACACAGGACTGAGATACCAGGCAGATATAACTTTATCCTTCCCACTCAAACACAAGCTTGAACACCAATTCACTTCCCTGCACCTGTCAGCCTACTAACTCCACACAAAAGCCTGCGAAGGTGATGCTCAGCCAGGTGGTTATTGTGAGAAACCACCAGCAACCTAATTACCCAGCAGCACCTCACCAACTGTTAGCAGGACACGTGAGGAGGCCTCCAGAAAAATGGAGACCACAATGGCATCCCGAAGTCCAGCCAGGCTCTGCCTTGCCCTGCAGTTTTCCACGTATTTCAGATGAACTTGGTGATTAAAATGAAACGAATTGAGAGTTGAACGAACCAGAAAGGAGAGGATTCTGACCAGGGAACCAGCCTTGTGACAAGTGGATGCCTTTCTCTTCTTCTCTGCTCTCCAACTCCTGAAGTTTCCATGGGAGGATGGAAGATGTGCTAATGTTATACTTAAAGAGTTTATTTCTCACTGGGCATAGTGGAACCGGCCTACAGTCCCACTCTAGTGATGCTGAGGCAAGATGACCACAAGTTTGAGGTCAGCCTGGACTACTAAGACCCTGCCTCAAAAAAACAAAACAAGGGGCTGGAGGTTTAGCTCAGCGGCATAAGCGCCTGCCTTGGAAGCAGGCAGCCGTGAGTTCGATCCCTGGTACCGATAAAAAGGAAAAAGACCAAAATAAATAAATAAAGAAAAGAGCTAGGCTTAGTGGCACACACCTGTAATCCCAGCACTCAGGATGCTGAGGTAGGGATACTATCTCAAAAAAATCAAACCAAGCCAAAAGAAAAGAAAACAAAAATCCCCAAAAAGAGTACAGGTCTCTCTTCTGCCAGAAGGATCACAACTGCCAAAAACAGAATAGAATAACCAGAGGGCAAGAGGTAGGTTAGATTTTTCTTTCTACATCCAACCAAAATCAGATGTGTAATACTGAACTGATCACTGGCCTGACTGCTAGGTATGGATGGTTTGAAGTGCCGGAACCGGCTCAGAACCTACACTGCTCAGCTGGTAACAAATGAGCCTTACTTACTCGGCCTTGTTTTAATTGCACTGTAAATAAAGTTGCTGCCTTTCACCTTCCAATCATAGAGCTTCAGGCTCTATTTTGCCACTAACCTTTCAACTAGTCTTTGATCTAGAGAGGATCGAAACAGTACAGTGGAGAGGTGAAGAGAAAAAGTGGACATATTTTAGTGCCAAACAGACCTGAGTTTTTAGATTCTAACAGCCCTAATTACTCGTGTGATTGTGAGAAAGTCATGTTAAGCTTTCTGAGGAAAATGGGACTTACTTTTCAGAAATAAGAAAAACAGAAACAGTATTTAAAAAGCCCATGGCATCTTAAAGACTCCCATTAAACACCATTATTATTCAGTAAAACAAAGTGATATTTTAAGAAATTCCTGGTGCTTCTCTGTGACCACCAAGGAGATTAAAAATCACAGGGTTTCAACATGAGACAATTTTGAGGGCTGCAAAGACACTGGCTGCTTCTCCTTTGGCAGACATCTCTACGCCCTAACTCAGGAGTGAGGTACTTGTCTTATTTTCCATTATCTTCTCCAGTTCATTCCTGATGACCTGACCCCTTTCTGTGCTGGTAAAACTATGTTGCTATAGTTTCACTCCTGGATTGTAAACATAACCCCAAACCTCCTGCCTGTTATTTTCTCTGAGAAATTAAAAGGAGAAAAAAAGATTTTTTTATCACTACAAAAAAATCTTACTCGTATCTCAAGAAGACAGTGATGTTTGGAATTATTGCAATAAAATATGTCTAAAAGATTATGTTAAAAATGTTCCCTACATTTTCTAACAATAAATGTAATCAATACATGCCTGCTCAGTACAGATACATGTCTGTGATACCAGGTACCTGGGAGACTGAGGCGGAAAGGTGTCAAGTTGATAACCAGTCTGAGCAACATAATGAGACCCTGTCTCAAAATAAAAAACAAAAAAATGGCTGGAGATGTACTATTTGCAGACAAAGTGAACTTCAAACCAAGAATGATCAGAAGAGATAAAGAAAGTCACTACATACTAGTTAGGGAAAAACATCAAGAGGAAGAGATAAGAATCCTAAATATATATGCACCAAATATGGGAGCATCCAGCTATGTAAAACAAGTATGAAAGAAATAAAAAATCAAATAAGCAATAACAATTATAATGGGAGATTTTTTAAAAAAGCTAATATTTGGCTTACAGTGAAACCATTAACTCTATAAGCCAGTTAAAGATTTTTTTAAAAAAATATATGCATTTAGCTTACATTTTCTGGTATGGCTTTTTTGTATACATACTTTTTATTTGGTCTCATTTCATTGGTCTCATTATCAGTTCATCTATAAATGCCTTTTATAGTTTCTAATCGTAGAGTTAAGGGGTGGTACACTACAGAGCTATTTCAAAAATCTGCAATATTTATGATAAAAGGTTTCTAAATGATGTGAAGCAAGCAAGGTGTCTACTAGTGTGTGCAGAGCTCACACAAAGTAACAAAGTGTGTAAATGAAGAAAGTATCTCTGGAATCACAGAACAGGGGTGCTAGGGACAACTCTGGAAAGTGAGATGAGGCAGGAAGGAGGCTTTATACCTCTCTGTGATCCTGTTTGAATTGTTTGTTGTGGTCCTTATTGTGGGAGGGGACATTATACGGAGGACCAAACTCATGCTTGCTTGGTAGGCATTTGTGCTGCTGAGCTAAACTCCCAGCCCTGTTGTGGTCTTTTTTGATTAATTTTTCTTTTTTCTGAGATAGGGTCCTACCTTGTAACCCAGTCTAAACTCACTACTAGCCCAGGCTGGTTTTGAACTGTCAGCAATCTTTCTGCCTTAGGTTCCCCAGTGCTGGGGTTACAGGCATGTACCTCCATGCCTGAATTGAACGTGGTTTTGCATAACAGTAGAATAAAAATTTTGAATAGATAAAAACATATGAGCAAAGGCAAATTACAAGAAAAAAAATCTGCTTTGTTAGAGAATTTAACTTTAGGATGTGTGAAATTCTAATCACTCTCTCTAGGTTATTTTTTTATCTAACAGTAAATATCTACAGTGTTAAAAACAAAACAACTGCCTGTAATGCCAGCACTTAAGAGGCTGAGGCAGGAGGATTGCTGTGAGTTCAAGGCAAGCCTGGGACAAAGTGAGTTCAAGGCCAGTCTAAACTACACAATGAGACCACGTCTCAGAGCAAAACAAAACAAAATAAAGAACAACAAAAAAAACCTGAAACAGCCTGGCACACCTGTGATTCCAGCACTGTAGAGCCTAGGGCAGGAGGATCCTCACAAATTCAAGGCCAGCCTGGGCTACACAGTAAGTTCAAGGGCAACCTGATTCTCAAAAACAAACCTGAAACAGGGTCAAGAATTCTGGTTATCATATTTACACCCTCAAAAGCATACCAAGAGATAATTGGTAGATTACATGTTGTTCCTGAACCTCCCCCACACATACACCTTTTTTTTGGTACCAGGGATTAAACTCGTAACTCTCGCTTGCCAGGCAGGCACTTATGCCGCTGAGCTAAATTCCTGGTTCCAACAACCTTGTCTGATACAGGGTCTTGTTACATGACCCAGGCTGGCCCTGAACTTGGAATCTCCTGCCTCAGCTTCCTGAGTGTTAGGGTAACAAATGTGTACCACCATGCTCAGCTCAAGTGTGGTCTTTTCTGATTTCTCTTATTAGGAGAGCTAGTTGCAAAGTATTTCCTACTAGTGGAGTTGCAGCAATTAACTAGCCTTTAGAAAATATTTTCACGAAAAATCTCAAAAATTAAAAAAAAGATAAAAAAATTTTCAAAAAAAATCTAAGTGTAATGGGAGACAAGTAGCTAATACAGCTGATATTTCTCAAAATGGCCTACCACTCATATTTGGAAGCTCTAAATTGAAATACTATATCATTTGAAGGGGGAAGGTCTCACACTCCAGAGCTTGACAAAATAAACACACCCCTTAAAATCGCCAAGCTCCTATTTAGGAGAACTCTCACCTGTTCCGCAAGCACAGGGAGCAGAGCACCAGGTTTCCGTAGGCCTCTGTGAACTTCTGCAAAGCCCGCAGCCCTGCACCTGGCTGCGTGAATTTCTGCCTGGCCTCAGCAGCAGAAAACAACTTTTCAGCAATCTGCTCAGGAAAGCCGATGAGAGAATCAATGTGATCCACATTGTCAGAAATGAAGCCCAGAACAAGGCTGAAGAGGGATTTAGCAGAATAGCGAAGATTCCCCTCCCGGGTGTACGTGAAGATGAAGTGATCGGTCTTTTCTTTCTGTGCGGTGTCATCTTCCCTGTTCATGCAAAGCTCCACGGAAAAGCCTTTGGGAAACAGTCGGAAAGGACTCGGCCTCTTCAGGCTGCTCCTGACGCCACCTCCGGCCAGGCTGACCATGTGCAGCTGCCCATTCTCTCGCACATAGATGGGGCCTGGGTCCAGGTGCTGTTCTGAGTTGAGGTAGTAAGACATTGCCTGGGTTGTGACTGTGAAAACAAGGCACACGGAAGCAGAACTAGTTAAAATGCCATCTGGAACCTGAAACTTCCCTGCACTGTGCTGAAGCTTTACGAGCCTACCAGACAGCACTGTGGCTCGTGCGGGGCAAATTTATCTGTGAACTTTGGAACCTGAGGCTGCCTCCACTGTCTACCTGTAATGCCCCTTCCTGTCTTTTTCTTCACTGTCTGGTGACGCATTCATCATTCAAACTCCAGATTAAAATTGCAGAAATTTATTTTTATTTATCTATTCTTGTGTGTGTGTGTGTGTGTGTGCGCGCGCGTGTTTTTATTTTTCTTTGGTACCAGGGGTCAAACTCACTATCTCACACTTGCCAGGCAAGCACTTAGGCTGCTGAGCTAACTCTCGGGCTCTTTTGTCTTTTTGAGACAGGGTTTCACTATACAGTTCAGGCTGGCCTTGAGCTCACTTTGCAGACCAGGCTGGTCTCAAACTTCCAATGATCCTCCTGCCACGGCCTCCCAAATGCTGGAAGTACAGGTGTGCATCCCCACACCTGGCTTAACTGCAAAATTTTAAAACATTTAAAAAGACACTCAGAGCCTGTGTGGTGGTACATGCCTGTAATCCCAGCATTTAGGAAACTGAGGCAGGAGGATTGCCATGAGTTCAAGGCCAGCCTGGGCTATACAGTGAATTTCAAGGTCAGCCTGAATTACAAAGCAAGACTTTTTAAAAAAACAAAACAAAAAAATTTACCTAAACAGAAAAAAAAATCAGAACAAACAAACTAAAAACAACTTTGTTCTTCGTTTGGAATCTTCCATCTTTTTTTTTTTTGGTCTCAAAAGAGACAGTCTTGCAATGTAGTTTAGACTGGCCTTGAACTCATCACCTACACAATATAGCCCAGGCTGGCCTTGAATTCACAGCAATCCTCCTGTCTTAGCCTCCTGTGCTGGGATTACAGCACGTGACACCAGGCCTGGTTTCTACATCCTTCTTTGTTGTGCTGCTCATTTGTTCTGGGCCAACCATCTATTGCTCTAAATGCCCTGAGAAGAGGAGCCATACTTAATTCATCCAGGCTCCTTAACGCTGTACCCTGGCATGTTACAGCCCCTGAGCAGACAGCTATGAAACAAAAGTTCACTCATTTGCTAAACCTTATATAAACCACAAAGGTTTTTTTTTGTTTGGTTTTGTTTTTACCTACAAATAAAGACCTCATCACAACAGCTAAGAAAAACTATTCTAGCCTTTGAAGACATCAAACCTATTAAGGTCCTATTGGGACCGTCTGGAGGTTAAGTCCAAAAATAAAAACAAACTCACAAACGGAAAAAAAAAAAATCAGTTGGGCATTTCTGCAACCCAGGAACTAAATGGACTGAATATATGTTTTCCTGACTGAGATTTCAAAATACACAAGTTTCTGTGTTAAATTAAATGAAGGATATTTTCATTTCCATAGAAATTTAAAGGGAAAAGAGAAGGAAAATTTAATATATTATAGATCTCATTCCTAACTTTCTTTCTTTTTTTTTTTGAGACAAGGTCTTAGTATGCAGTTTAAGCTAACATTGGACTCGCTTATGTAGCCCAGGCTGGCCTCGAACTTATGGCAATCCTCCTGCCTCAGCCTCCTGAATGCTGGGATTATAGGCGTGAGCCACTATGCCTGGCTTGACTTTTACAGTGAACAAATTCAGTTGATTCTGTATAAATGCAGAGTCATAATATAGCCCTGAAGTCATTCACAAGTGTCAACAAACAAGACAGTGCTCAAACATCCGGAGTCTCTGGAGATGAAACAATGTCCTGTGTGTGGGAATCAGAACTATCCCAGTTTCTCCTGAGTATTACTATTCCTATAAAAGCACCAAGAAAGGAGGGCCTGGCTGCGCCAGAGCCTCAGCCTTCTCGACTGGGCTCTGCATCCATTCTCCACAACCTAGGGAGCTGCACACGCACTCCTGTCCCACTAGACTGGGTTGGTCCTGTTCCCTTTAGCCAGAGCATCCTTGTCTATCTCGTTGACCTAGCTAATCCCACTCATCACTGACACTCACTGACTGCCACCCTCCTTCCCTAACCCTGCACACAGTCCACACCTGTCTGGTTTTTGCTCAACACCCTGCGTCTCCTTCTACACAATACTTAGCACCATGTACTTTCTGTTCACTTGTGATTGTGCCCAGAACTCTGAGCTCTTTGAAGGCAAAGCACTTGATTCATCTCTCTTTCCCAGGCCTAATAGGGCCCGGTGCTGAGTAAGCATCAACAGATACTCCCTGAACTGAATGAGAGCAAGGCTGAGAACTCTACTGGAAGATTTAGTGCTCCAAGCTGCAAGGCCTGCTGATACTGTTGCTAGGCGCCTCTTGCAGGCAACAGCTGCAGGCTCCTCCCCCACTTGCCAGCCCCTCTTGCAGGTGGTAGAAGCAGAGCAGATGACGGGAGAATATTGCTACTGGTACTACCAGGAAAAAAAAAAAAACAAACAAACTAAAAAGCAAGGGAAAAAAATCCCATCACTGTGCCAGCTCTTGTAACCCATACTGTTCTGCCACCATTCAGTGCCTGCTGCTAAGGAGACTTTCATTGCTCTAAGCTCCCCGTCCAGGAGGGGTGAGCATCTGGTCCCTCAGGCCTCAGACCTTAATCCTGATACAAAGAAAAAGCACTGTCCTTTTGTCCTGTGCTTGCCCATTTATAGTCTACTCTATCTGCAGATCAGAAAATAGACACAGGTATGGCCTTAGAAACCACTTGATTTTTTTTGTTTTGTTTTGTTTTGTTTTTTGTTTTTTTGGTCTTTTCGAGACAGGGTCTCGCTATGCAGTTCAGGCTGGCCTTGAGCTCACTTTGTAGCCCAAGCTGGTCTTGAACTCGCAATGATCCTCCTGCCTTAGCCTCCCCAGTGCTGGGATTACAGGCATGAGCCACCACGCCCGGTGAAGCCACTTGATTTTAATAGCAGACAAATTCTATGGAAGATCACATACTACAATAGATCAGCACACTGGGAAATGGACCTGCCTCTCTACACTGCTCCTTAGCCTCATCTCCAATAAAGACCTCCAGGTTTTAGAGTAAGACAGACAGACAGCTGGGTGGATCAATGGATTAATGACTGCTTCCACAGAAAACTCTGAAAGTGTGATCCCATCCAGCAGAGGGCACAAGCAGCTTGGGATCAGTACAGATGCTGATCCCTGTCCAAAATCCGGGCAGTTTCAGCTTCTGGGGATCATTTTCAAAAAAGGGCTGTGACAATTTTTTCTTTATTCAACTAATTTTTATTTGTAAATAATGAAAAAAGTTCACTGTTTCCTGAGGAGTGGACCCACATCATTAGTCCAGACAGTAGTCCAAGGCCTCTCTTTCTTTGGCTATGATATTATACAAACTGATCTTGGTTCAGGGAATCCAGGTGACCTTTGATTTCCATTACTAACTTTGTATATATCCTGTATCCTCCCAATACAGCATTTCCTGGGAGTTTGTGGATACTGTAAAATGATCTGAGAATTAATGCTGGAGTCTTTCAAAGTTAAGAACCATAAAGGTAAAATGAACTACGCAGATCATCTCCACTTCGCTCTGCTTCAGTCAGTTGTATATGGTGGCCTATTAAAACTGTACCCGAAGACAAAGGGTTTTTTGTTTGTTCGTCTGTTTTGAGACAGGGTCTCACTATGTAACTGAGGCTGGTTTTGAACCCACTGTATAACCCAAACTAGCCTGGAACTCAAAGCAATCCTCCTGCCTCAGCATCCTAAGTGGTGGGATTACAGGCGTGTATCACCACATCGGATAGGGACTATTCTATACCATGGCAAAAACTCACACAAACTGGAAAGTTAAAATAGTATGTGCAAAGATAGCGATGTCCAGCTGGCTGTAGTGGTACATCCCTGCAATCCTAACACTCCAGAAGGCTGAGACAGGAGGATTACAAATTCAAGCCCAGCCTTAACTTAGACTGACTGTCTCAAAATAAAAAAATTTAAAAGGCATAGGGATATAGGTCAGTGCAAAGACCCTGGGTTGAATCCCCAGTAAGACCAAAGGCATCGGGTCGCAGGGTGAGGGGGATCCAGTGTAGATAAATCTGCAGTAGCTATAGTTCTATTAGACCAGCACATTGAAGGGATTCTGATGGGTCTCCTAGCTCACTAGAGCTTTGTAACCCATAACATCAACAAAAATATCACAATATTGCATGTTCTACTGTCTGGTCATCACAAGGGAGCCAAAAACACACCACTTCAAATAAATGAAATATAAACTTACTGCATTAAAAATTCAGTTCTCTACAATTTCTTTGAATAAAGAGGCAAGATAACATAATAACTAAACATGACAGTTTTTTAGACTTTTAAGCATGATTATCTAAGTCATGTGAAGTGGAAAAGGAAAGGGAAGAGGTAACGGTAATAATGTTAAAATTGTGAGCTGAGGGGCTGGGGATTTAGCTCAGCGGCATAAGTGCCTGCCTTGCAAGCAGGCAGTCGTGAGTTCGATCCCTGGTACTGATGATTAAAAAAAAAAAAAAGAAAAAAGAGAAAAGAGGGGCTGGGGATTTAGCTCAGCGGCATAAGCACCTGCCTTGCAAGCAGGTGGTCGTGAGTTCGATCCTTGGTACCAATAAAAATGAAAAGACAAAAAAAAAAAAATTAAAATAAAAGAGAAAAGAAAAATTGTGAGCTGAGCTGTGTCTCAGCATGCAGGAAGTTGAGCCAGGAAAGTCACCAGGAGTTTGAGCCCAGGCTGGGGTATAGTGAGTTTAAGGCCTGCCTGAAGTACATAGCAAGATCCTATTTCAAAACCAAACCAAATCAAGACGCTGAGGTAAACCTATAGCTAATTTAAAGGGGGGGGGAGAGAAAAATCTAACTTTAGTAAGGAAAGTATGCTTACAGTCCCCTAGGAATAGCAGGCCACAGCAATGACTGATGTTAATGATACCGGATGTGATGGCTGCCTGTTGTTCAGTACATACCAGTTGCCAAGTGCTGTGCTAGGTATGTATCTCACATGTAACCATGAATTCTATGAGATCATTGTTGCCATTTAACAGATGAAACAGCTCAAAGAACTACAATAATTAAGGAACAGTTAGCAAGTGGCAGAACCAGAATGCAATCTTGGGGCTGTATTACTCCAAAGTTCAAGAATTTTGCACTGCATGATGCTGCTTCTTAAGAATAAAAGTATGACATCAGCCCTAAGGATTAGGAAAAAATGTTAAAAATTAATCTCGCCCACCTGTCTGATCCCCCTGGTACTCCACTGGCTCAAACCAGGAGGAGGGGAACAGGGAGGAGACTGAAAAACAGTGGTCATCGGAGGAAAGAGTTGGTGGGAACCTGGCCAGGGCCAGAGTTACAATGAGGCCTCCTCCCTGCTCTCTGCTAGGGCAGAAATTAGCCACATACACGCACCAGGAAAACATCTGTCCACCCCTGACCTTCATCCCAAAGCCAAAGACACCTTTGGTTTACTTAACAATGTAGTATTCTTGAGAAAATTTCTAACATATAAACCTGAACAGAAACTAGTAGTAAACTACCTTTTGCCAACTAGAGATCCACCATTATTGTTCCACCATCATTGTTCTGTGGCACTGCCATTATTCAATTTTCAATTCTTCCTACTTTCTTTTTTCCTGTAACTTCTACTTCCCCACCTGTTTTCTCCCCCATACCCGGTGCTCCACCACGCTCCCCCCGGGGGTCGCGTCACACCCAGATCTCTACTTTCCAACGCTCCCCCCAGCAAGTCAGTCTTCTCTCTCGACACTCTTTCTCCAACTCTCCAGCTTCTCACACAAAATCCAATCCCCACCTCCTTCACCCACTCCCGGCTTCTCTGCCTCCTCCTCTTGGACCCCGAACCCTTCCGATCCTTTTGTGCCCTTCCGAAATGTGACTCCTGTTGCTAGACCCAACCTCTCCTCGGTCCCCACGCCATTCCGCCCGCACCCTTCTCTCCTGCACCATCCATTCTTCTTCCCCTCTCTCGCCTCGCGGCTTTCCTCTCCAGAACCCAATCGATCCTCCATCCCTCCCTTTCCTTGTGTCCGCAACCTTCAAAAAACCTCTTCCTTCATGCCTTCTCCCAACTTCACGACCCACAGCTCCAACTTCTTTATTCCCGGCCCTCAGGACACCACCCCTTCCCCTATTCCCTTCCTCGGTGCACCCCTCAAATTCCATTCCCTCTCCTTAGTACCATCCTGCGTCCTTCCCAACACCCCACCCGAGCTAACCTGCTCTCTGCCACCCCCCGAGCGGTGAACCCCAAGCCCCCCACGCCCCGCTGCCCACCCCGCACCCCGCCCCCCGCCCCACCCGTAACCCCCACCCCCGTCACCCCAGCCCTGTCCTCCGGCCCGCGCCTCCCCCACCCGCCCCTCCCTCACACCCCGCCCCCGCCCCCACCAGCACCCCTGGCTCCGCGAGCGGCCCAACCCGCGGCCGCCACCTACCTGTGCTCTTGCCCTAGGCAGCGAGCGGCAGGCGGCACCTCGGTAGCGGGTCCGCGCTCCCGCCGCGCAGGTGATGGGGAAACGACTCGGCACTCGGCCACAAAGCTGGAGAGGATGGGACACGGAGAGGGTGGCAGGAGAGGCGGGGCTGGGGTCGACCTGGCTCTGTGGGACCGCAGGACCGGCGGGGCAGGGGGAGGGCTGGGCCGGGGAGGCGCGCGTGCGCGGGACCGGCATGAGGGGCGGGGCCGGGCGAGGGCGGGGCCTACGTTGGGGCGGGGCCCGAGTGAGGGGCGGGGCCCAGGCGGCCTCGGAGCGCGGGGCTGCGAGCGCGCTGGCTAAACTCTGCGCGTGCGTGTCGGCGCGGAAGGCGGGGGTCCCCCGGGACGGCGCGGATTTCGGGGTGGGGTAGGCCGGAGGAAAGGCGCGCGGGCGGGATTGAGCAGCTGAGCCCACGGAGGGTAGAGAGCGAGGTGCGCGCGCTGGGACTGCGTGGAGGCGGGGCAAGGGGCGGTGCTAGCTGCGTGGGAGGCTGTGAGCTGGCCTGGCGGGGCTCTGAGGCGACCCGGAGGCCCAGGCGAGCGGGTCTGCGTGCTGAGGGGTGGCGGGCGGCGGGCGGCGGGCGGCGGGCGGCGGGCGGCGGGCAGGGGCGGAGAGCGTGAGGCGCGGGAAGGGTTAGGAGGTCGCGGGGTTGCTGCCTCGTCGCTCTCTCGGACTGAGGCGCTGGTACTCTGCGCGAACCCGTTCGAGACCGGAAGTAGTGCTTTGACCCAAAAGAGGGAAAACAGTTGCAGGTGGAAGTTAATGTTCCAAAATGTAAGATGTCGGCTGCATAGCAACCCGTGTGGTTAAGAATCACATTTAAGGTCAAGGCTGGTGCGTTTACGGGCGGCTTATCCTGAGGGGCCAGCGCCGGAGGCTTTGCGGGGCCTGCGGCTGCAGGGCCTGGGTGGAGGTGGGGTTTGGAGCTCTCGTTTTCCAGCCGCCGGCCAGGCGTGGGAGCGGAGGGCTCCGCTTTCTTGTCAATACCAGAGTTTCCTGTGGAGGATGCAGGAAAGGCTGTGAGGAGTCCGACTGTAAGAAAGCCAGAACCCGGGGGCTCACCACGGAAGAGTCAGCAAAGGACTTGGTCCAGACGGGATTAGAAAGGGCCTGTGAACTGACGAAGAAACCAGTGGCTCTTGTTAAAGATGCAGCATGGGGAAGTCCAAGGTCAGAAACTGTCAAAAGTGGGAAGGATGGCAACCTATAGTGTACCACCTTTGGTAAACTGAGGCACTGAGGGATGCATGTTTATTTAGAGCAAGGTTTCTCAGGCTTAGAGGGCACCCCAAAACCCCATTTGGGAAGTGTGGAAACAGCATTATCTGCTGACCTGTTCTTTAAGTCCCTTTGGGGTTGATTTACCTTTTTCTCATTAATTGTAGCAAAAGAACCTTAAAGGGAACCTCAACCTTTCCTTTGTCTTGTAATTTAATTAACTCTACCCAACAGGAAATAGGAAGGATATTGGTGGGTGTGAGAGATACAAAATGAGTTTTAGTCAAAAAAAATTTGCATCCCTTAGATGATTTAAGAATAGGAAGAAGGAGCTCATGTGTTACATTTAGTTCCCCCTGGACATTTTTGTCCACATGAGAAATCAAGAATACATAGATACTTAACAATATTTGCCTGTTTTGAGGCATTCGAGTCAATTCAGTACTAATAAAGAGTTTCATGTTTCACAAATTTGCAAGTTGTCCTTGCACCAAGGCCAAGCTATAACTCTTTATCTGTTCAGCTTTTGTACATGTGCTGCGTAAGGGAGCACCATAACTTAAAAAAAAGTTCTCTGCAATTTCCAAGCCCCACATTTCTGCCTTCAAATTCATTACTGCAGTTTTTCAACCATTCCACTATTTACCCTTTGAGGATGAGGCTGCCCTATTGATGATGTATTGTGCAGCATTCTCCCTTGTGGCCTTGTGACAGCCAAAACTATTCACATAATCACATGTCCCCTAAAGGGCAAAGTTGCTGTAGGCCAGTTGAGAGTTCCATTAAGAACCACTGAACTACAGAGTAAATTAAATCCATTTTCTTTAACTTGCTTTATTTTATGTTATTTTATTTTTTGGAGTTAAGTCTCAGGCTTGCATAGAAAACCTGGGCTCAAAAAATTCTCCTGCCTCAGCTTCCCAGGTAGCGAAGCCTACAACTGCACACTACTATTCCCAACTTTTTTTTTTTTGTCTTTTTCATTTTTATCGGTACCAGGGATCGAACTCACGACTGCCTGCTTGCAAGGCAGACACGCCGCTGAGCTAAATCCCCAGCCTCACTATTCCCAACTTAGCTTTTAAGATCCTTTATTGTCTGTTCCCAACCTACCTTTCCTAGAATTTGACTCTGCCGAAAACAACCTTCAATGTAAGAATCATTTCTTTGATTTTTTCTGTAGATTATTACTTAGTCTTGGACACTTTCAGGAATGGAAAAGATTTAAAATTTTTTGCTTGAAAGCTCTTACCTCTCATACCTTCCTGCTTAAAATTTATATTTATTGGGGCTGGGGCTTTAGCTCAGCGGCGGAAGCACCTGCCTTGCAAGCAGGCAGTCGTGAGTTCGATCCCTGGTACCGATAAAAACGAAAAAGACAAAAAAAAAAAAAAAAAAAAAAAATTTATATTTATTGAATCCAATTCACTTTTGGAGATGTAAAACAAAAAGCAGTATTTTGAGGGCTGGGAATCAGACTGAGGACTGCCTGTGCACTGTACAAATGCTCTACCACAGAGCTGCATCCCAAGCCTGAAAAGAATAGCTGGATGTGCTGGTGCATGCCTGTAATCTCACCACTCAGGAGGCTGAGGCAGAATAATACAAGTGAGTTCAAGGCTAGCCTGAACTGCATAGTGAGGTCCTGTCTCAAAAAAAAAAAAAAATGTTTAAATACATGGATACAAGTAGTACCTTGGTTCACAAACCCAATTCTTTCCATGATACTGGTCACAAACCAACTTGGACAAAAACCAAATCAAATTCAATAGTTAGGTTCAATGTTGACCTTAATGGAAAATTTAAATCTCTTCCTATCCAATTCTTCGACCAGGATCGTGGAAAGAATTAAGTTTGTGGACCCCAAGGTACCACTGTAGTTAAATTTCTCATACCAGATAGTCTCTTTAATCTCAGTGTCTGTCTTTCTCTGTCTCTTTCTCTCTCTGTCTCTTTCTCTCTCATCTGCCCTCCTTCAGTAAGAGAGTCAACCCAGAGTCTTACAGAGCTATATGCCCAACTACTTCATTATATTTTTTCTCTGACATAGGATCTTATTAAATTACTTGATTGCTTAGGCTGGGCTTCAACTTCCATCCTCCTGTCTCAGCTTCCCAGAGAGCTGGGATTGCAGTTGTACACCACTGTGCATGTTCCAGATTATCTCATTACAGACCCTGCTCTTTCATTTTTTCCTGTGACATGGTTTTTAGAGCATTGTGAACTTTTTGGGGTGATTGTTCATTTTGGCATTAGGGATTAAATTGAAGGCCTCAGTCATCCTAAAATACCTCCAACCCCCATGACCTTTTTACTCTCCTCTGAACAGTATCTGAAAATTATCATACCCTGGCTGGCCAGATGGCACTTGTTTGTCACCCGTACTACATGGGAGGCTGAGCTAGGAGAATTAGTTCAAGGCCAGCCTGGACAAGAGCAAAATCCTGTCCAAAAAAATGGGCAAAGAATTTACCCAAAAGTGAACACAGTATTCTGAATGTGGGTCACAGCACATTAGCACACAGCATGTTGTTTTATTAATTGCATGCATTTGTCCTTAACTGACTTGGGTGAAAGACGAAAACCAGGTCTCAGTCACTTAAATTGCTTTCGTCTTTGTGCTGCTAGCTCAGTGCCTGGCCCTTAGGCTAAAAGGGCTTCCAGCTCAGAATTTTTGATGGAATGTAGTATTTCCTGTAACTTTTCTTTTGGTTTTGGTTTTGATTTTGGGGGTTGTTTTTGTTTTTAATGTTAGGAATCAAACCCATTGAACTGCATACGCTTCTTGCCCAACTCAATATACACTAACATAGCATTTTTACCTTTGGGGAAAGATAAGATATAGTACACTGTTGCCTTATGTTAACTTTGTGATTAACTGAATTGATAAGTTTTATATATCAGTATTAAGATTTGGCAAACTGGGTGTGGTCGCAAACACCTGTAATCCCATCACTCAGGAGGCTGAGAGTTCAAGGCTAGCCTACCCTACATGGTTCAAGGCCAGCCTGAGCTACATAGCAAGACCCTATCCCAAAAAAAGTCAGAAAACTTTTTGTAAAGGGTAAGATAATGTTTTAGGCTTTAGGCTTCATAGCTATTCTGTCACTGTAGCACAAAAACAGTCATAGATGGTGTACAAACAAATGAGCATAGTTATGTTTCCTGTAACACTTTATGATCATACGAAAACTGGTAGCAGGCTGGATCTGGCTGGTGTCAAATTTGTGGCAGTCCTGCCTCAGCCTCCCTTATGCTGAGGTTACATACCTGTACCACCACACTCGGCTGTATTTAATCTTTTGTTCCTCCTTTTCAGATTGAGTTTTTTTTAGAGTATTCTGTCCTTTTTCCTCAGTTGGCCTTTACCTTAGTCCATTTTTGTGTGTCTATAATAAAATACCTAAAGCTAAGTAATTTGTAAAGAAAGCAAGTTTATTTAGTTTGCCATTCTAGAAGGCCAAGAACATGGTGCCAGCATCTGCTTGGCTGCTTGGCTCTTGGTGAGGATGGCATGTGGGAGAAAGAGAGGTCACATGACAAAAGAGGAAGTAAGAGGCAGGGAGGAACCTGGATATGTATATATCTCAACCCAGTTTCACAGAAATGAGTGTACTCTGTTAGAGCTAGTTGCTTCCAGGATCCCACCGTTAAGTCTTTTCTGAGTGCAGTCCATTGCCTGCCATTAGATGCCATCTTCAAGGTCTCACACATTGCAGTAATGCACATTGAGGATTAAGCATCTAGCACAGGGATATTTGGGGGACAGACCATACCCATTCTTACTTTATGTGTTATGCTTATTAATGGTTTTCCTGTCCTCCTCAGAATACAGCATGCATGTTTAAAGTCCTCTTGAATTTATGTATACTTCATTCAGTGTAGACTTTACTAAAGCACTGTAAGTGGTTTCTTTACTCCCTTGTTACCTTTTGTGTTATTGTACTTACTGCTTCTGTATCTATTAAATTCCTAAAATCCACTCCCTGGCCCCAGTGCTAGGGAATTGAATCTAGGGAACACTAAGCTATGTCTCCAACTCTTTTGTTTCTTGTTTTATTTTGTTTTGTTTTTGAGGCAGTGTCTATAACTAAATTGCCTCTGCTGGTCTCAAACTCAAAATACTCCTTCAGCCTCTCAACTAATTAGGATTGTAGGCATACACCATCACACTTAGCTAAAATATATTTATAATTATCTTAACTATATTGTTTTTATATACATACACATATATGTGTGTTTTTTCTTCCAGCTTTTCACACTAACAAAACAGTATGATGTTTACACGTCTTATTTATCTCACTGTGTTCTTTTTTATTTTTATTTTTATTTTGTCTTTTTCCTTTTAATCGGTACTGGGGACTGAACTCACGACTGTCTGCTTGCAAGGCAGACGCTTATGCCGCTGAGCTAAATCCCCAGCCCCTTCTCACTGTGTTCTTAAGATGCATACATTTACCTATAAAAGTCTCAGTTTATCCTTTTTTTTTTTTTTTTTTTTATCAGTACCGGGGATCGAACTCATGACCACCTGCTTGCAAGGCAGGTGCTTATGCCGCTGAGCTAAATCCCAAGCCCAGTTTATCCTTCTTTATGCTGGCCAAAATATTTTTACTGGATATAGAAATGTCATTTTTCTTTCAGTACTTTGAAAATGTCATTCCATTGTTTTTGGCTTCCATGATTCCTGATGAGAAATCAATTTGAATTCTTTAGCTATTCTATTGTATTTTTTGCTCTGACTGCTTTTTCTTTAATTTTCTACAATTGACTAAATTCTTCCCAGGTGGACTCTTTGTATTTATTTATTTTTCTTGTTTTTTTTGAGACAGGGCCTCACTATGTAGCTCAGATTGGCCTTGAACTCACTGTATGGCCCAGGCTGGCTTCAGATTTGTAGTAATCCTCCTGCTTCAGCTTCCTGAGTGCTGAAATTATAGGCAGGCACCATCTTGCTTGACCTTTGTATTTATTTAGTTTAGATTTCATGGAACTTTTGTATTTTGATACAGTTTGAATCATAGATTCTCTATTCCATGTTCACATCATTCTGTTTCATTATGGATCATTTCTGCCCCTCCCGCCTATCATGCCCTTTTTTTTTCCCCCCAGCATTGAGACTCACACTCAGGGCCTCCCTGTTGCTTGACTGGCTGCACTCCCAACCTGTGACTTATCTACAAATTCAATGACCCCTTCTTAAAATCAATTAATTAATTTTTAATTTTTTCATTTCTAGAATTTCTATTTTGTTCTTTTGGCATTTCCATTTTTCTACTAACATGTTCTTTCTCTTCACCCGTTTTGTTCATCTTTTCAGAGTTATAGGTTTAATGTAGTTATCTGTATCTCTCCTAATAAATATGAGCACCTCTGTTGTCTGTGAGTTTGCTTTTTTTTGAGACGAGATCTCACTCTGTAGTCTAGGCTAACCTCATGACAATCTTCCTGCCTCAGCTCCCCAAATGCTGGCATTACAGGCATGCACCGCTGTGCCCAGTTTAGTCCTTTGATCTTACCTGCAGTGGGGCTGAGTAGGGACAGGAGCTACTCCTAGTTGCACTTCAACTCTTCTGCATAGAGCAGTGATAAATGACAGAGCTAGTGACAAGGGAAGGAAGTCAGGTGCTAACGATTTGAACCGTGTGATGCAGTGTACAGGAAGTTCTGGCAGAATTAATCTACAGTGATAGAAATAAGGACCATGGTTGCTTGGAGGGAGCAAGAAGGAGTAGTAATTGGGAAGGGGAAATCAGAAATGCTTCTCAGATGTTCTGTGTCTTAACTAGATGTGTTTACTTTGCTGTAGAGAACCTAAATGCTTCTGACTTCTGCCCTTTTCAATGTCTGTTATAATTCAGTAACAAGAAAGGTAGGAAACTTGGATCAAAAGCAAACAAACTAATCCTGTAAAGTTAAAAAGTAAAATCAAGCTAGAGACTGGAAAAAAAAGAGTTGCAGTACATACAACAAAGCATTTTTTACTTGCCTGGCATGTATGAAGCCATTTTGGAAATGGGTACATAGTTGGCCATGTGTAGTATTCCCTGTACTTTTTGTTTCCTAGTTCAGTTGAAATAAATTTTGGGTGCGATGGGCATTAAGGTAGTTTTCCTATTTATTTCAGGCTGGTTTTTAATTGACCTCAAACTCCCAACAATCCTTCTGCTTCATGCCTTTGATTTCTGGGATTACTAAAGTGTACCTTCATGCCCAGAAAATAGTTTCTTTCCATCAGTGGATTGATCTTTTTGAGACACACCAATGCAGTTTCACTATTTTTGTCAATTTTTTTTTAACCGACCCTTACTAAGTCATCCAGGTTGAGCTCCATCTTGGTTTTGGTTGGGTTTTTGAGACAGGGTATTGCTATTAGTTTAGGCTGACCTTGAACTCACTGTAGCTCAGGCTGACTTCAGAACCATGGCGACCCTCCTGCTTCAGCATTATAAGCATACACTGGCATTATACGTAAGCCCTGTAGTCCAATTTGTGATCCTCCTACCTCAGGCCTTAAGGGTACTAGGATTACAGGCATGTACCACCATGCCCAGCTTCCTTTAATTCTTTATAGATAAAGCTTTTCTGGTTGTTTAGTATCTGTGTCACCATTAGATCAAATAGGAAAACAGTGACGAATCTAATCCAATGTTTTCTCTTCTGCCTTACCTCCAGGCTATACAGTAGACTTCCCAAGACCCTTTTTTATTAAACTAAAATCCTTCCCTGATTTAGAGTTTTAAAAGAAAAAACTATCCTCCCCACCACCTCTCCCTCCTTGTGTGGTCCTAGGGATTGATCCCAGGGTCTTACAGATATAGTTCTAAGCAAATGCTGTACTACTGAGCAACATCCCTAGCCTGTTTTAAAATTTTTTATTGCCAACCTGTGTGACATACCCATAATACCAGCATTTGGAAGACTGAGACAGAAGGATCACTGCAAATTCAAAAACATCCCAAACTACAGAGTGAGATCCTGTCTCAAAACAAAAAAGGCCAGATACAGTAATGCATACCTGTAGTCCCAGCACTCAAGAGGCTGAAGCAGGAAGGGTCAAGGCCAATGCAATTACAGAGTGATATGGGGTGGGAGGGGAGGATAAATACATACATTTATTATTTTGAAATAGGTCTTGCTGTGTGACAGGTACTACCCAAAGGGAATAAGATGACCAAGTGCTAGGAAGAAGCCCTGCAGGGATCATGCCTGTTTTGTTTTATATTTTATAACAGAACTAAAGATATAAGTGGGATCCACTTCTCATACATAGCCCTAGGGTTAAAAATACAGCAGCTGCCAGCCATTGTGCAAGTCCAGATGCAGACAGCGATCAGTCACTGAAAACCTGCTTTCCCCTGGTGGTCATCTCACCAGGACTGACCTGGCATTGAAACCAGACATTGACCAGTTAGGAATGGACACTGCTGCAGGTTGGCCTGTCAGCATGGAAGAAGGATCTGGGGACTTGGTGATTAGTTTTGACTGTCAGCTCAATTGGCTTCGCAAATGCCTAGGAGATTAGTAAAGCACAAGTTGGGGTGTCTGGGAAGGCGGTCATAGAGCCAGGGCCCCGGGGTCTGTATCCAGGCCTTGGGCCCTCTCTGAGCTCTTAGCTGTTCTCTCTGCTTCTGCATGCCACAAGTCGAGCAGCTGTGTCCACTCTGCTCTTGCGCCATTGCATTTTTGTCTCTGAGCCTACTGACTGGACTGAAATCTGAGCCTCAGTAAATCTCACCTCCAAGTCTGGGTGTTAGGCGCTTGGCCTCCCATGAAGGAAGCTTGACCAGTGTGGGCAGGAACCTTTGCTATGTGTGCTATATTCCCCACCTTCCTTCTTTGCTTGAGAACCACTGGTCTGACCTGCTAGAGCATTGTCTCCATTTAAAAAACCTTGCCTAGAGTGAGGGGTATGACTTAGTGGTAGAACTCTTCCCTTGCACGCGCAAGGCCCTGGTTCAATCCCCAGCACTACAAAAAAAAAAAAAAAAAAAAAAAAAAAAAAAAAATCTCTATGCCTGTACTTCCTCAGAGTCTAGGCTCCTTTCTACAGTTCTGGGCCTGCTTTCTACAATAGCTGGCTCCAGTGACAGCTAAATTGTCCAGGCTGTCCTCAAACATGATCTTTCCTCAGTCTCTTGTGTAACTGAGATCACAGGCATGTATGTGCTATTACTCTTGGCCGTTTTCTCTTACTTCACATTCCTGTTCAAAAAATGATGGTAGCCAGATATGGTGACACATCATGCCTTCATTCTTAGCAACTGATTAGGCTGAGAAAGGATTGCTTGGACCCACCAGTTCAAGAGCAGTTTGGGCAACATTGCAAGACCCCATCTCAATAAAATAATTTTATAATTTGTTTGTTTTGAGACAGAGTTGGCTATGCAGTTCAGACTGGCCTTGCACTTGTGTCAGTCCTTGCGTCAGTGCTGGGATTACAGGCATACATCACCATGCCTGACAATATAATAATACTTTTTAAGGTGCAAATAATATTGTTGGACATGTTAATTGATAAGTATGGGTAGATAATCACAAAAAACTCCTTGTGTAGGTTACTTTCAGAAATTAACTATGGCAATATTTTTAAATCTTCTAATTCCTATTACTCTGATTTAACTATTTCCATATAATTGAGGACTTTTAATATTAGCTGAAAAATCGTATCAGAGGTCAGATGGTAAAAAGAAAAAATATTGGGTGGTCAGAGTTTTAGTTTTGTTTTGTTTTTTAGCAAGGAGGTTGAAAAGTCCTATTTTGTAGCTTGTCCCTGGGAGAATTCAGAAGTTGACTTAGGTAAATAAACATGTTTGCATCCCTCCTACTTGTCTGATGGCTTGGTTGTTAAACTGTGTGCTAGGTAACAGGCTTTGCTTCTCCCTTTTCTTAAAGTTTAAAAAAATCAAGAATCTGCTTTTTTGGTATTTTTTTTTGAATTTGCAGGTGAAACCCTAAGATGAAAAAAACTGATCTCTGTTTGAGCTCTGAAGGGGCTGAAGTGATTTTAGCCACATCAAGTGATGAGAAACACCCAGCTGAAAATATTATTGATGGGTAAGAGTTACTGTACTATTTTTCTTAAAGGCTTAACATCAGTACCCTTGAGCACTAAGAGTTGGACTTGTAAACATCATGTAATAAATGTTTGGTGAGTTAGATTAGTTGATATCATTCCTGGAACTAACTCAGTTGTTGATATTTAAGTTTTTGATTGTTCTCTGTTATTCCTAAACTGACCCTTTATATAAATACATTTTAAATTTGTAATTGTTTTTATCATAGTGTTGGGGATTGAACCTAGGAGCTTGCTCATTTGAACCACTCAGTTGTTTTGTTTTAATAAGTGCTTTACCAAGGCAGAAAACCAGGCAATTCATTTTATGGAAATGTAAAATTTGATGTCCAGCTTTGGTTTTGTTCCAGCCTTTTCTTGGAACTAGGAATATGAACAGTGTAACTTCCTATCTTTTCCTTACTGGTCTAAGCAGCATCTTTGAGAGTTGAAACGCTTTACTTCCTGCTAACCTTCTGCATCTCAGTGTCTTGATATTCCAATTTCTTACTCTTCACAAGGCAAGAGCTTATGATAGGAAGAAACAGTCTCAGACTCTCAACTCCAAAAAGAAAGTGGTTAATGGGAAAAAACCTTTTTTAATTGTTCTGGCTTATTTTCATAAAATCTTGGTACATGTACAAGGTCTAGAATTTGATTTTCATAGAAACAGAATTCTTAGAACTAGAAGAACAATTCATCTTGTCTAAATGCTTCCTTTCTTTTTCTTCTCTCTCTCTCTCTCTCCCCCCCTCTCCCTCCCTCCTTCCTTCCCTCTCTCTCTCTCTCTTTTCCTTTCTTTCCTTGGCAGTAGGAATTGAAAGTGAGGGCCTGGCACACACTAGACAAGTGCTTTACTACTGAACTGCATCCCCAGACAAAGCCCTGTATTTTAGACTTGTGAGAGAGACCTAAATGCACTGAATATCAGTTTTAATTATTAAAGGCAGAGCTGGTTATAAAATAAGAGATTTTGTGATTCTTTGAGCTCTGTTGTGAAGCCATGGTGGCTAGACAAAGTCGTATCATTCTTCCAAGGCTCATTGCTGATTTCTGTTTGATGTCTACCCCTTTCTCTGAGTTGGGGTTAGTTTCTCTCTTTGCTGGGCTCTGACAGCACTTACTATGTACCTTTATCATCTTATTTTTTATTGCATGATTATTTAGTTTTAATGCTTTGAATTAGAGTCCAGGTTTTGTTCTTCTTCGACTTCACAGAGTCTTAAACTATTTATTGAGTACTTTGTTAAATTAGAATATAAAATACTAGTTAAACCTGGCTAATACTAAAAAGCATCAGAATGTGTGTATATACACACACACACAGATGTATGTATATGCATATATTTCTATAAATTTGCATAGGGCTTTATAACTTCATATATATGTATGTGTATATATATATATACACACACACACACACACACTTACTTTGGGAAATAAGCACAACAAATTCCTTTTTTTAATTTAAGGAGAAAAAGAAAAAGGGTACAAGTTATACAGAATTTCAGAAAAAATAAACAGTAGGAAATCACTAGTTAATAGATTACATATTGTCATCTTAGAAATAGTTGTTCAGCTGGAGATTTAGCTCAGCTGCATAAGCGCCTGCCTGGCAAGTGAGAGGTCGTGAGTTCCATCCCCAGTACCGCAAAAAAAAATTAAATAAATAAATAAACAAATAAAACAATCACTAAAAAAAAAAAAAAAGAAAAAGAAATAGTTGTTCAAGTTACAAAATTAAAGCATATAAAGTGGACATTCAAACAGTGAGACTGCAAACAGTTCTGTTCAATGATCCAACAAAAACTCAGTAATGTGGTCATCTGTCTTATACACTTAAATATACATGCAGTTATTTTTCTTTTTTAGAATGTCCTGCAGTATTCTCTGTAACAGAGTTGAATTGGTGGTTGCAAATTCCCCTAGTTCCTCTTTATCCTGGAAATAACCTTGTTTTTCCATCAATTTCTAGGGACAGTTGTGCAGGATGTATCAATCTTGGCTTGAGGTTATTATCTTTCAAAGCTTGAATTATCTCCCCCCACGCTCTTTGTGATTTGATGGTTTGTGCCGAGAAGTCTGCTGTAATTCTGATGAGTGTTCCCTTGTCAGTGATCTGTTTTTGTCTTTGATGGCTTTTAAAATTCTGTTCTTATATTGGATTTCTGGAATTTTGATTATTATATGCCTGGGTGTAGTTCTTTTTGGGTTGTAAGTGGCTGGGGTCCTGTATGCCTCATACATCTGAGTATCTTTACCTTTTGCTAAATTAGGGAAACTTTCCTGGAATATTTGTGTGAACAGCCTTTGTAGTTCATTTGTTTGTGTCCCTACTTCTTCTTTTGTGTTCTTAATTCTTAAGTTATAGATCCTCTAATCATCTTCTAGCCTTTGTATTATTGCTGTTTGTTTCCTTGTTATTTTTAAGAAGTTTTTCATTTCATGCTCCCACATTACAAATCTGTCCTCCAGTTCAGATAATCTATCCTTAGTTTCTTTCAAGCTGTTATGCCAGCTTTCAATAGAGATTTCAATAGAGATTTCCTGGTAATCTCTTTGAACCTGCTTCACATATTCTATGTTTTCTCTATTTTCTCCATCAAACAATTCTCCCCTTTTTTTCTCTGTTCTTCCATTCCACCATCTGTTTTTTCTTGGGCGGTGCTTAGCATTTCTCTAACTATTCTACTTATATCTTGCTTTACTTATTTTAATACTTCACTTTTGAACTTGTCTATGAGGTTCCAGAGATATTGCTTTATGTCTATTGGTGCCTTGTCTGATACTGCATGTTTTCTGTCCTCATTCTCCTTTGCATTTACCTTTCCTGGATCAGTGTTCTTAGGACTGGGGACTGAGGACCCTTTCTTGTTGCTTCCTCTTCCCATACTTTTTGTTCCTTCCATCAAGCGTATACAGGAGGCCCAGTTTCTTTATTTGTTTGGATCCACCAGCTAGGTGTTTCCGCCCACTGCAGTGTACGAGGGAGACACAGACCCGTGGGCAGCCTCTGCTGGGCCCGCCCCTCCAGGTCACTGAAGGCTTCACTGCTAGGGTGTACTGCCAGGTGCTGGGACCTGGTTTGGGCTAGCCTACTCGGTCTTACTCCACAACGTCACCCAGGCCAAGCGCTCCCCACCAATCCTTCTTGAGAGGGGAATATGTGACTAAATTCACTGCAGCATCCTGTTCGGGCTAGTCTGTCCGGTCCCAGAATGTCCTCTGTTGCTGCCTTTTTATCTATGGAGGGGTCCCCATTTCTCTCACTCACCGCAGGTCTCCCTGCCAGTCCCGTTCTCAACTCTGTTCGCCGATTCCCACTCTCAGAGCTTTTGTGTCTCTGTCCCTGCCGTGCAGATTCAGATGCAGCAGCGGTGACAGGAAATTCAAAACGCGTGGGTTCCAGCTTCAGCGTTGAGATTTTATCTGTTCCTGTTGTAGCACCAGGATTGCATTTCCAGTTGGTTTCTCTCAGCTAAGTTCATTCCTGGGTCGACAGGATATATCTCCCTTTGCTTAGAACTCCTCACACTGCACCATTCCTGGATTCTAAGCTGGCTATCTCAGAGAGCCTCCATAGCTGCTGTTATCTAACTACCATGTTCTCCTGGAAGTCGTCCCAGTTCAATTTGACAACTCAAATTCATTAAGCTTTACCTGTCTAGGAGCTGACTCAGGCCACCCTGCCTTGGCACCACCATTCTGGTCTACACCTGCCCCCTCTGCCAACAAATTTTTAACTGTATTGTAAAGATGAGGAAAAGAATAATCAAAGGTAAAATGATTTGTTGAAAATCCCACAGACTAGCAAATGACAGAATCAACTAAGACTGCTGTCTTCTGGCTGCTAGTTGAGGGTTCTTTGTCTTATACTATGAGAACTCAAACTTAAAATTTGAATCAAAAGTGAATATTTGCCTTTGCCAATGTCTTAGTTATAAAGTTTTTTGTTTCCTAAAAGTCACGTCTTCGGAGGTGGAAGAATGATTGTGGAAATTTCTATTATGAAGATACACAAAACTGTGGAGATTCACCTCAAGTTGTTTGTTAGGAACAGTGATCTTTACAGAAACATGCTTTTTCCCTGATTGGAGCAAGATCATTTTTCTAAGGCAAGATCAGTTTACTTGGGATCCTTTTAGTAACCTTCCTCTTGAGGGAATAGGTGTATAGATTGATAGGATTAATAGATAATATTTTAGGCTCTACTAGTCTATACTAAAAAATCACTGAGGCCATAGTATTTTTTTAGGTTAGGAAGAGTGTTAGTACCCAAACTATATGTAATAAAGTGGTAACTGTCCTGATAAATGACAGACTGTTAGACTTTTAATCTATATGTCCTTCAAGCAAATATAATTAGACCATGTATAGTAAATGTTAAAATTAGTTATAGAATTAGTAAGAGAACAATGCTGTAAGTTTACCCTTTTCAAACAGTGAAGATTACTTTATGGACTTGCTCCACACTCTTAATCTCCTTAGAAATAAGAACTAAAGGAGGGCCAGGGATATAGCTCAGTGGCATAGAACCTGCCTGGCAAGCATGAGGCCTTGAGTTCAATTCCCATTACCAAAAAAAATAAAAATATAATAATTTCCTTTAACTCTTATTTTTTTTAAGTACTAGAGATCACTCACATCTTCACACTTACCAGGAAAGTGCTTGCTTGAATTGCTGAGCTGAATCCCCACTCCTGTTATATTTCTATTCTAATTATCCCTTTTGTTTTGAGGTAGAGTGTCCCTACATTATCCCAGACTGATCCTGAACTCAAGACTCTTCTGACTCAGCCTTCTAAATTCTGGGATTATTGGTGTGCACGTCACACAGCTCTGTTTTCCCTTGACCTTACCTTGACTCTGCCATCTATATTTAGTATATCAATGAAAAGAAAGAGATTCTACTTTAGGAAAAAAATGAGTCAAGAAGAAGAGGAAGCGGAAACAGAAGCCGCAGCAGCAGCTGGTATGGTGGCACACACCTGTAATCTCAGCATTCTTTTTTTTTTTTTTTTTTTTGTCTTTTTCCTTTTTATCGGTACCGGGGATCGAACTCACGACTGCCTGCTTGCAAGCAGGCGCTTATGCCGCTGAGCTAAATCCCCAGCCTCTAATCTCAGCATTCTAGAAGGCCAAGGCAGGAGGATCACAAATTCTGACTGTAACCTGGGTGGTTTAGCAATTTAGGGAGAGACTTATCTCAAACAGTTGTTCTTAAAGAGCCAGGGATGTGATGTAACATAGTGCAAAGGCCCTAGATTTGATCTCTACAAAAAAAAAAAGTGTGGTATTTCTTGTGTTGTGTTTTTGTCTTACAGTACAGGCAGTCAAACCCAGAGCTTCTCACTGAGTTATATCATAGCCCTTCTTATTTTTTATTTTGTGCCAGAGTCTCACTAAATTGCCCAGACTGTACTCACACTTGAAATCCTCCTGCTTTAGTCTCCCAAATGCTGAGATTACAGGCATTGCCACTACCTGGCTCAAGGAATTTTAACTCCAAATCTAGTATAGTACACTACTGAAAAAGACTAATTCTTCCAAGTTTAAGGCCAGTCAGGGCAATTTAGTAAGACTCTGCCCCAAACAAAATAAATAGGGCTAGAGAATAGGGAATTAGAGGAAAAGAGTTGAGGTATAGTTAAATGTTTGCCTAATACGTTAGGCTCGGGGGGGGGGGGAGAAGGAAGAAGGGCTGAGTGTTCCATAATACTTTATGAGAACAACATAATTCTCATACCAAGACTTGAAAAAGACATTAGAAAGTTAAAGACCATTACCAAATATGTACATAGACATAAATATCCTCAAAGCATAAATCAACAAATGTAGTTTATCCTAGAAATATAAGATTGGCATAATGACCATGCTGTTAGAGGTGTACAAAACTGAAAGAAATCCACGTTATCAGAACAAGGAAGAAAAGTCATATGATTGTGGCCGTAGATGTAGAGAAAGCATTTGACAGAATTCCTTTTGTCCAAGAGAAAGATATCCTCAGTCTCATAAAGACATCTCTGAACTGGCAGCTTGGTACTAAGATAGGAATTGCTTTCCTCCAAGACTGGAAATAAGTAGGGGTGTTTGTTCTTGCTGTTTCTTTTCAGTGTTATTCTGAAGATCTTAGCAAATGGGAAGAGAAAAAGCATAAGAGGCAGAAAGGTGAGAAAGAAAGAGTAAAACATGTTGGCTCACAAATTCTGATCATTTTCATAGAAAACGCAAAAGGATTTGCCACAATAAATAAGTAAACTACTAGAGCTAGTGAGTGAGTTTAGCAAGATCAGTATCAATTGTATTATTGTACATTAGTAGGAAACAAAATGGAAAAAAAATTTTTTTTGGAGATGGGGGGTCTCACTATAGTTCATGTTTGTCTTGAACTCACTGTGTAGCTCAGGCTGGCCTTGAATTTGTGGTAATCCTCCTGCTTCAGCTTCCTGAGTGCTGGGATTACAGTTGTGTACCACCATTCCCAGCATCTATTCATCTGTTGAATGGACATACAGGCTGCTTCCAAGACTTAGCTGTTATGAGCTGTGCTGCTATAAACAGATATACATATATCACTGTAATATGATGCCTTACTCTCCTACGAAGGTACCTAGAAGCGGAATAGCTGGTCAAATGGAATTTCTGGTTTTATGTTTTGAAGGTGCTCCATGAGATCTCCATAGAATTGTACTCTTTTACATTCCCTCTGACAATATAGAGATGTGCCTTTTTCCTGCAGCCTCATCAGCACTTACTATCTGATTTCTTGATGGTAGCCATTCTTTCTGGAATCTCAGGATTGTTTTAATTTGCATTTCTCTAATGGCCAGCAAGATTGAACACTTTTGCGTGCATTTATTGGTCATTTCTACTTGTTCTTTTGAGAAGTGTCTATTTATTCCACTTGCCCGTTTTTGATTGGGCCTTTTATTTTTTGAGGAGTGTCTAATTTTTTTTTGAGTTCTTTATATATTCTGGATATCAGTCCTTTGTCTGAACAATAACTGGAAAAATTTTTTATCCCATTTGCAAATTGTCTCTTCACTATCTTAGTTGTTTCTTTTGCTGTGCAGAAGTTTTTTAGTTTGATATGATCCCAGTTTGATACTGTTTCCTATGCAACTGGCCTATGAGTTCACGAGTTTTATGTATTTTATTTTCGAGCAACTTAAGTGTTTCTGTTTTAGCATTTAGTTCTCTGCTTCACTTTGATTTTAATGTAATATAGTGAGATATGTGGGTCTAGACTCAATTTTTTGAATGTGTAGCCAGTTTTCCCAATACCATTTATTAAAGAGAATATCTTTCCTTTAATACATACTTTTTCCCCTTTATCAAAGATCAAGAAGTTGAATGTGCTTGGGGTTGTTTCTGCCTCCTGTATTCTGTCCCATTGATCTTCTTGTCTGTTTTTGTGCCATTACTGTGCTGTTTTTATTTCAATAACTGTGTAATGTAACTTGAAGTTCAACAATGTGATGCTTCTTGCTTTGCTTTTTAAATCAAGGATTGCTTTTGCTATTCTGGGTCTCTTTTGTTTCCATATGAATTTTAGGATTATTGCTACAGTTCTTTAAAGAATCCTGTGGTTATTTTGATTGAGATTATATTAAATCTGTATATCAATTTTGATGCTGGGTGTTGAACCCAGGGCCTTGAATATGCTAGGTCAGTGTTCTACCACTGAGTCATGCTTCTACCCCTGTATTTTAATATTGGCAGAATGGTTATTTGGACCATATTGGATCTGCCTCTCCAGGGTAGGGAATATACTTAATGATGAAACTAGATTGTATAGCATCATAAATGGCATACTATGGAGTTTAGATGTATCGGTAGTAAGGAACTGCTAGTGGGTGTGGTGATGTATGCCTGTAATCCCAGCACTTGAGGGGCCAAGACAAGAGGATTGCTGTGAGTTCAAGGCCAGCCTGGACTACATAGTGAGTTCAAAGCCAGCCTGAGCTACATAGTGAGATCATGTCTTAAAATATGAATATCCCCCGCCCCAAGAAAAGGAGAAGGGACCGCTGACAGTTTGTTGAGTGGAGTGACATAAGCACTGTTCCTGTTTTTCAGACGAGAATGTAGTAGCAAAGAATCTTTGACGAGAATGTAGTAGCAAAGATCACAGACAGTTAACAGAAAGGGAATGTAAGAATACAATAGTCACTTTTGAAAATACTTATTACGATTTTTTTATTAATTTGTTGTGGTTAAATTTTTATATTTGGCTATTTCTTTTTCCCTTTTCTTTAAAATTAACAATAGGAATGCAGACACGTTTTGGACCACCACAGGAATGTTTCCCCAGGAGTTCATTATTTGTTTTCACAAACACGTAAAAATCGAAAAGCTTATAATCCAGAGTTACTTAGGTAAGAAAGTAATGCATTAATTTTTATCTTAGTTTAATTTTTTCATTGACAGAGAGCACAGATGTAGATATCTGGCAAAATATTAGTAGTTTTTCTTTACTGCACGGAATTTGGTTTTATTGCTGGAGTGGGAGGGTGAAGACCCCAGGTTAACTGCTTTCAGCACAGTAAGCCCCTCTGGAACTACAAGTTTGAAACCCTTTCAGTCTGTGTAATAATTTCAGTGCAGTTTACCAGAGGAACATCTTTGGCATAAGAAGGTAGTTTGCCAGTACACTAGGTTCCAAGACATCTTTACTCTTGTTCCTTTTGACGTGGGGTTCACAATCAAATTCTATCTGATAAACCTAATTGTTCACATTGAAGAGTTTTGATTCTTCCATTGCTAGGGGAATCTCCTTTTGGAACATTATTCTAATAGTGTCTGTGTTTATTTGAGGCTAAAGTGTGATAGATAAAATCCAGGCAGGAAATAGAGTATATCTAGATGTTTCAAAGGAAAAGATTTTACTGATGGGTCTACTTGCAAAATTATGATCTGGGTGAAGCGAACAAACAAGGAATGATGAGACCCTCAGAAACTAGCCACTGCAGGAGCCTATACTACCCTGGGTCAAGGAGGGAGTTAGTGTTACTGAGCCCCACTGAGAGGTGGAGCCCGCACCCAGGCCCAGAGAGAGCTGTGGTGCTGAAGGGAGCATCCTAGTACTGCCAGAGACCGGCCAGCAGGAAGGGGTGGAGCAAAACCACCTGCTCTCACTTTCCCACTGCCTTCCAGGCTCTTCCACAGGAAGCCCATGGGCACATCCAGCAGTGAGGGATAGTCTGTGGGTCAGCCCTTCAGACCACAGTAAAGGACAGAGGGGTAGCACTGGATTTGAAATTTCAGGATATGGGTAGGGGACGAGGTAAAAACCCAGTGCAGTAAGACAGTGACGATGTGCCTGACAGCTCTTCTGATTTCTGTCATTAAGTACAGAGGCCCTGGGGTCAGCCAGGTCTCAAGTTTGAGTTCTAGTTCTGGCACGTACTGAATCTGTTTCATTGAACAGCTTACCCACTCGCCAAGCATGTGTCCTCATTGCTAGTAGTGTAATAGTACCTTTGTCCTAAGACTAGTCAACAGCAAAGGAATACAAATCTGTGACTCCTAATAGCTCCTCCATAAGGGCTTATGACTAAGACCCTCTGCTGTGGCTTTATTATTTCCAGTATACAAAAGAAATTCCAGGTAATAGCCAAATTTGAAAAGCTCTGCTAGCTTTGTGGTATATTTAGACATAGTCAGGATTACTATTATATGAGCACATTTTCCCGTTGGAATTTATAGAAGCAGAGTAGGTAACTTCCAGAACATGGCATTCCTGACCCCAGTATTCTGTGTAGTCTCATCATTTCAGGGCGGTCTCATTCAGTGAGAAAAAGACACAGCAAGGCCCACAGCACAGCACTGGGTAGGTGAGTAACATCCTGTTTATTTTTCTGTTTACCACACCAGTGCGGTCCTTGAGGGTTGAAAAGAGTGCAGCTCAGGAGCCGGTTGGGTTTGAGCAGTGGATTGAAAAAGGTATGTATGTGCTTGTTTCACTGCATCATTCTGAGATGAGGGAGGAGAGAATTACTGTCTCCACATTTCCAATCCAGCTACATTTTGGTGAATAAAAAGTGTTTCTTGGGGCCCAGTTAGGGTCCAGGAAAACAGTACAGAGCATATCAAATTGACTGGTTATATAATGGTTAATGTATTACTTAAATTTTTAGAATTTCAAAATCCTAATCAGAAAAAAAGAAATGGATACCTATCATCGAAGCTTTTGTGAGCTAGTGGCTACATATGATAAACAATAAATATTAGTTTCTCATCTTCTTTCTAGATGAATAGCCCTTCACTTACCAACAAAATTGATAGCCTCCAGGTAAACAAAACTTTTGCCTCTAATGTGTCTGTCTCCTTTCCTTCCCAAAATACTGTCCCATGAAAATTGTAATAAAGGGGTAAAAGGAGACATAAGTTTCCAAGGGCAAAAAATTAAACAAGGAACCGGGATCTCTTAAGTCACTAAGTTGGCTACACGGGGTTTGAACTTTCTATCTTCCTGCCTCTGCCTCCCAGGGTATTGGGATTATAGTCCTGTGCTATCATGTCTGGTCAGTTTAATGTACATTATGACAGAGAGAAGGCAGGAACTTCTAAAATCAAATGGATTCAATTGTAACCTAAGAACTTGACAAGGAAAGCACTAGCAAACCAGTTTGCGTAGAACCCCAAGAAGGTGTCGAACTTGGAGGAAAGCTCTAGAATTTATGAAAAGTAGGGGCTGGGGATTTAGCTCAGCGGCATAAGCGCCTGCCTTGCAAGCAGGCAGTCGTGAATTTGATCCCGGTACCGATAAAAAAAGGAAAAAGACAAAAAAAAAAAAAAAACAGAATTTATGAAAAGTGTGAGACATAGACCAGAAAAAGGGTGGTTATTTGAGCAGCTAAGTGGCTGAACTTTAGGTGCCTTTTCCCACCCTATCAAGCTAGATGATGACTCCTTTTCCACAGACCTCTGTGGCCGTGGCAGTTGATCAGGGACATTGAGTATAGTATTGAGGCTCAGGGTCCAAGAGAGCAGTGACATTAAGTGAGGTACAGGGCTGAGTCAGAGCATTGAAGTGGAAGCCTGCATATCTAACAGTGGAAATTCTAGCCTTGCAGTGCTTTGCAACAAATGACTGCAACCAAGAGTGGAACTCACACTAGGACATAAAGGATTCATTTTTGGAGAAACTGAGCAGCCCTAAGGAAAAAGAATGTCTGTGATACTAACAAAGACGTGCTTGGCCCGCATTGCTCTGTTGCAGCCTGCCAATCAGCAGCCCTAGCTTCTGCAGTTTCAAATGATTTATTATTCATAAGTAGCAAAACAGCTAAAGGTCACCACAGTTTTGAAGAAGGCCTTAAACCCTGATTGTTGGGCTGGGGATATGGCGCTGTGATAGAGCTCTTGCCTTTCATGCACAAGGTCTTGGGTTTGATCCCCAGCACCATCAAAAACAACCGTGAATGTGATAAAGCCTTTAACTCTGATTTCCAGTCTGGAGAAAGTAGAAGAGAAAGGATCTAGTTAAATGAGGAAGCAAGATACAAAGTTCAGAAATGTTAGGACCTTCTACAGGACAACTGACCTGGAAAAAAAATATGTGTATAGTAGAAAAAAAAAAGATTAAAGATCATTAAGATTGTGACTTACAATGAGTTCTGTTCCAGAAAAATTTTTCATAAGTTGAATTCATTTTTAAGTCTACAGAGTCAGTCTTTTATATATCTCTGAAAGCTTGCAACTTGAATGTTCATAAGTCAGGGACTTCCTATACTTAATTCCAATATGAATAAGCTAATTATAAAAAGGCATGTGGAGGATAATAGGGGAAATTTGAAGAAGGACTAGGTAGTAAGGCATCGTTTTGTTTTGTGACAGGGGTTTTGCTTCAAGTTGGCCTTGAACTTACTATGTAGAACATGCTGGCCTAGAACTCATTGCAGTCCTCCCGCCTCAACCTTCCCAAGTGCTGGAATTACAGATATGTGCGACTAGATTCAGTTTAAGGCATTGTTTTTGATGTTAGTATGATAAAGATATTATAGTTACGTAAAAAAAATCCTGTATTTAAAGATGGATAAAATACTTAGAGATGCCAAAGGTTGAGCTCAGCAGCATAAGCCCCTGCCTGGCAAGCACAAGGTTGTGAGTTTGATCCCCAGTACCAAAAAAAAAAAAAAAAAAAGGAAAGGAAAGGAGGGAAAAGTTGTAGGAGGAGGAAGTGGATATTGGTTTATGAAATTTAAATTTTTAGTCAGGCATGGTGGTACACATCTGTAATCTCAGCACCTGTAATCAGGAGACTGAGGCAGAAGGATTACCATGAGCTGAGGGCCAGCCTGGGCTACACAGTACACAGTGAGTTTGAGGCCAGCCTGAACTACAAACAAAACAAAAAAAGTCTCTAAACAAAAAGTCTAAATTTTTGTCACAGGGTATGCCTGTAACAATAGCTATTTAGGTGGCTAGGACAGGAGGATCATAAGTTTGAGACCAACCTAGACAAATTAGTAAGACCCTGTCTCAAAAATTTTTAAAAAGATTAGGGATAAACTCCCAAGATTCAATCCCAACACTGCAAAACAAAATTAAATTTTCACCTGCCATAATATAAATTCAAAGAAATTGATAAATAAAGAAAGGAACATAATCATTGAAATTCCAGGGACAACAGCAGAGTTGAAACGCTTATTGCTAGAGGCCATGCCTGGGGGATAATGAAGGAATCATTATCTTTTATTATCTCAGAGAAAGTTTACGTAGTAGAGAGCAAGTCATCCCCCAATCACACTTCCCAGAGACTTCCCTATTAACTGACTTTTCAAATTGCGTGTATTGGGCTATGTGTGATGAAACATGCCTGTAATCTCAGCAGTTGGGATAATGACTGGAGGATTACCTCAAGTTTAAGGCCAACCTAGACTACATAGCAAAACCCCGTCTAAAAATTACGAAAAATGATTGAGACAAATAAAACTAATATTGAATAATGTCAGTAGTGATCATTAGGTGATTAAGGAGTTCAGGTTCCAAAAGACTGTTTGATGATTAGCTCATGACCAAATGAATTAATCTGTCATATCATTATACAGGTAAAGGTTTTTAAAACTTGGATATCAGAAAAGATCACTTCACATTTCACAGAATTCACTTCATAGTGAAAAGTCCCTAAACTGGGCATGGTGGCTGTAATCCCAGCACCAGTGATTCTAGTACTTGTGAGGCTGAGGTAGGAGGACTGCTGTGAGTTCGAGCCCAGCCTGGGCTACAAAGTGAGGTTGTTAGGCCAGCCTGAACTGCATAATGAGACTGCCTCAAAAAGACGAAAAAGAAAAAGAAAAAAAAATCCCTGAGACCCAGAGCTTGGCCTGTCACTCCACAGTGGGTTCAAGTGGCTCCTCTCAGGCTTGTCATTAGTTATATTCCTTTGCTATCATTTATGCTTGCACTGTCTTTTGCTTTTATCCACTAGCTATATTTTATATGTCATAGTTTTATTTCTTGCCTTTTATATCTGATATCTATTTATATATCAAATTTCAACTCCTGAATACTGATCATTTTTTTTAAATCTGGGTTTAACTTACAGTTTACCAGATGTTGTAGTCAGGGGTTATGAGGAGAACAATTAAAATCAGGTCATGGAATTTATATTACTTTATGATGGCTACCCAGAGTTAACACAAGAAACTGCAGGAAATCTAGCCACAATACCAAAGACAGAGAATATTCAACCAAGGGCCTGAATCCCACAGCAATGTCCTGCACGAGCCCAGATGAAGACCTAGAGCCCATGACAGTGCCTCCTACGAGTCCAACTGGAGGTCTAGAGCTCACAAGGACTCACACCAGTCTCTTTTATGGATCCATGTTGGGAAGGCCCAAAGGTCAGTAGTGGAAGCAAGAAAGTCTGTGTCAGCGGGGTGAAGGAGCTGTGCCCATAGGTTGAGGTTTCTACACTGGAGCCAAGAAGTCACACTCAAAACAAAGACCAGGGCTGCCCTGAAAAGCATCACAGCCATCCTTAGTGACATGGAGACCCCCGGCTCCTCTGATGATAAGCGTGGTTGAGTACATGCTAGGAAGCTAGCGTGACAAGTTCATCCTGGAAAGCAAGCAGCACACGTCTTCCCCTCTGAGCCAGGAAGCAATGCTCGATGTAAGGACCAGAGCTTCTCCAGGAGAAGCAACGGCTCAAACAGCAACATGTAGAAGAACCTACAATGCCTCAATGCCTCTCTTCTCCTTCTCCACATCTCTATTTATGCTGGCAGCTTTCCTCAGGGGAAACATCTACGCTCAGCATCATGGTGATTTAATTCTACTGGCATTAAGTTGACCACCAATTTTTAATCTATAACACCAGATAATGATATTTTGCTGAACATAAGCTTCAGTAGCTGTCCGCATGTATTCTAAGCATTAACTCATGTCTGTTAAATTTGTGTTATAGATTTAGTGCACACAGTGGGACAGCTTCAAAATGAGGAAATTACGGTAAGTAAACATAGTTTCATAAGTACAATGGATTCAGATTTTAAATACATCTTTGTAGTTCTAGAATTAATGCATATCTTTATGTATCATAGGTTCTACAACTAAACCAATAGAGAGGGGATTCTCAATAATACTAAAAGCTCTCCATTATAAATTAGGCCTTTGTCCATCATAAAATGGAGACAGCAAAGAGGAGACAGAATTTGTTTACTTATTTCTTTTCTTTTTTTTTTGTACCAGGAATTGAACTCATGACCTCACACTTACCAGGCAGGTGCTGTGCCACTGAGCTGCATCCCTGGTGTTTACTTGCTATTTTATTTTATTTTTGAGACATTGTTGCTATGTAGCCCAGGCTAGCCTTGAGCTTGTAATTATCTTCCTGCCTCAGCCTCTTGAGTGGGGTTACAGGCATGCACCACTACAACTGGTTTGCTTTACTTTCTTTCATGTAGGATAGGAATCAAAAGAGGTCAGGAGATTCAGATAAGGGGAACTGGAGCGTAGGATCAGCAACAAACAGGGTAGCGTGGCTGAGGTGGAGAGAGCCAGTATGTTCCGACAGTGGCCTGCTTTGCTCAGCCAGTGGAATGAATGCCGGTGACAGGAAACCGCTGCTTCATCAGGAGCTCCTGCTCCCTTGTTTTGTACAAACAAAAATGTAAACAAGATTTTTTAGGTGGTTACATTTTTTAACTAAACTTTCTCTACATGAGAGTTAAAGTGGTGCTTTTTTCAGAATATACTTTACATCTTGCTAAGAGCTGCTGTGATAATGTAGGAAGATTTTTGAATCTTCTTAATTTCCTTTTCTCCCACCAAAATTTGCGTGACGAATGGGGAAGCTAGTGGGGTCCAGAAAAAATGATGAATTATGCTGAATTCTGTCTTCCTGTTTTTGTCCATCTTCACCGTGTGTGTTGTGATTCATGAGCCTCTGCTTCGTCCGGTGTTTTCTCCCCAGACTCACTGTATGTCTGAGGAGACATGTAGACAATCTGGAAAGCAGTAAGGGGGAGGAAAGCATCACCCATCATTTCATTGCTCTGTTACAGGGTATCTACTTTCTTCTAGTCAACAGATGCAATCCAGTAATAACACATGGACAACTTTGTATCATTTTGTTTTGTCTTTTGAGACAGGGTCCCTGCAGGCTGACCTTGACCTCAGTAACCCTTCTGCCTCAGCCTTCCAAGTAATGGGATTACAGGCATGCACTTCCACACCCGGCCAACTATCATGTTTCTCTAATTTAGCATTATATCACAAGTTTCACAGTTGTAAGATAACATTTGTCTATTTGCATACATTTAACCTAACTTCCTTTTTTCTCTTATCATTACAAGTAATACACAGGACATTTTATGTATGTTCTTGCTACCATTTTATGTATGTTCTTGTTTTTGACTGTTTTCTAAGATTAAATTTCATAGAATAGAATTACTGAGTGCAAGGAAATAAACATTTTTATAGCTTTTACATGCATTGCCAAACTGCTCTTTAGACAAATTATAGAAATGTGAAAGTATAGTATGCTTCAGGGAAGTACATTCTCAGGCATCATTAACCAAGGGAAACTTACAGGAAAAATACTTTAGTAAGACACTTTTAAAAAATTGATCAGAAACATAGAGTGGCAGTGGGTATCCCTCCTACTGTTTTTCATAAAACCAAGGCTGACATCATGCCGATAGGCACTAGAACAAATTATGTGGGGCTAGGCTGTTTTCTGAGTGCACCATTTTACATAGTGTTACACAGTCAGAATATTACTCCTGCATCAAATCCTTTCTTCTGCTAGCTGCTTGCTAACAACTAACTAGGATTGCTAAAGAGCATCCATACTGATTTTTTTTTCCCCCTACAGGCACATGATGGCCATGCTACTTACTTGAGAGTCATTATTCTATCAGCCTTCGATCATTTTGCATCTGTGCATAGCATTTCTGCAGAGGGAACAGTAGTCTTAAATTCTTCTAAGTAATTAGGAAAAGATGCTCTTGCATGCTTTTTTTTAAGCAATGTATTTATTTAAAAACAAAGTCATCATTAATATACTTTATTAAAAGGATTTGTTAACTGTTTCTATTTTTGTTTGTATTTTGTTCACTGTTTTGGGCAAAGAAATTCTGATTTCCTCAGTCAATGGAGGAAGCTATATCTACAGTATACAACGTAATCAAAAAAGTACAGGAAAGTTTAACTGATAATGCATGGTATCCCCTCAGATCTTAGGTGGTCATCAGATCTTCGACATTAATTTTTAAACATATTGATCTTTGCAAAAGGCCAAGTGAGCAATATAGACAGTAAACAATGTAAGACTTGAGAAAAGAGAAAATGCCTATGGGAGGTTCAGTTGAGGCTGTAGAACCCAAACTGGGGCCTTGTGAAACAAATTGTGATTTTTGTTCTGACTTGAAATCGTCAGAGAAGAGTTAGGAAACACAACTGTATTTCCCAAAGACAACCAACCATAATTGACTTTTTTCTTTACATTTTGAAGAGGCAAGGAACTTGAAAATAAGACTTCTTGGAGTATATCGTAGTGTATAGTTTTGACTCTGGAAATGTAACTAATTGGGATAGACAACAATTAAAAGCTATTCTAAAATTTTGAAAACAGATCACAAGTTAGTAAAATAAACATGTGGGAAAAGATAATTATTTAAGTGACACAATTTGTTTATGCAGTTTCCACTAGTTTCTTAGTATTCCTAGAACAAAGTACCTCAAAGTTGGTGACTTAAGCCAAAGAAATTAATTTTCTCACATTTGTGGAGGCCTGTGGCCACAAACAAGCTGTGGCAGGCTGGTTGCTTCTAGAGGCTCAGAGAACCTGTGTTAGGTGTTTTCCTTCCTCGCAGTCTGTAGGTTAAGCACCACATCGGGTCTTTACCTCCAGCACAGCATAACATCTCTGTATCTTCACATCCTCTTGCCTCTGGGTATTCCTGTCTCTGTGTCTTCTCTGTATCTTGTCCTGTATTATAGTGACACTAGGAAGTTAAGAGACCACCCTCCTCCAGTATAACCTTGTGTTTTGTTGTTGTGGTTTGGGTTTTTTTGATAGAGGGTCTCACTTTATAATGCAGGTTGGCACTGAACTCACTGCATAGCCCAGGCTGGCCTCAAAACTCCTAGTGATCCTCCTGTCTCAGCCTCCTACGTGCTGAGATTATAGACATGTACCACATGCCTGGTGCCTTGTTTTAACTAGTGACATTGGCAAGTACCCTGTTTCCAAGCCATTTCACATTCTTCGGTGCCAGATGTTAGGATGTCAACATGGGAGACACAGTTCAACCAACAACACAATATATTTATGGTGGTTATTATTTGTCAGCTTGGCTGGGCCATGATAACCAAATGTTAAGTAAGAATTATTTTGGATGTTTTCGTGAAGGTTTTTGGATAAGATAAAACATTAAGCTGGTGGACTTTAAGTAAAGCAGATCATTCTCTGTAATGTAGGTGGCCTCATCCAATCAGTTGAGGGCCTTAACAGACAAAAGATTGAGTTCCCTGGCAAGAGGGAATTCTGCCAGCAGATGGCCTGCTGCCTTGAGCTACACTGACCCTTTCCTGTGTCTCTAGGTGCCAGTGCCCCCTGCAGATTTACAACTTGGGCTCGCTAGTTTCCATGAGTAAATATCCCTGTCTCCGTATGCATACCAATCTCCCGTTGGTTCTGGTTCTCTTAAGAGAGTCCTTTTTTTGTTGTTGTTTCATTTTTTGCTGGAAATGAGATCTTGCTGTGTTATCCAGGTTGGTCTTGAACTCATGCTCTTCCTGCCTTAAATTTCTAGGTATTTGAGATTACTAGAAGGCACCACTATGTCCAGCTCATCTTTGGAGAAATCTTTAATACGGGATTGTGGTAGAGACAAGTAAAGCAGTAGTGGGATTATAGCTCAGCAGTACCAGTGTCTACCTGGTGAGTGCAGGTCCTCAGTTCGATTCCCATTACCCAAAAAAAAAAAAAAAAAAAAAAGTAGAACTATAAGAAAATCTTAGCCTTTGTTTAGTTGATTAATGCCTAATCTAGAGCAAATTATCTCCTTTGAAAATTTAAAAGGAAAAAATTATTTTTTTCACATATTTATTTGCTGTTTATATATCTTCTGAGAAGTGTATATTCATCTCAAACACTCATTTTTGGATTGGGTCTTTAAATCTGGGAGGACTAATTTTTTTGCGTTCTTTATATGTTCTTGATAGTAATCCTTTGAGGAACAGGTGGCAAACATTTTCCACATTTTGGGTTATCACTTCTGTTGGTTGTTTCTCTTGCTGTGCAAAAAGCTTTTCAGTGAAATGAGATTCCAGTTGATTTTTTGTGATATTTCCTGTATAATCAGGGTTTTGTTCATAAATTTTTTGCCTGTGCTAATGTTTTCAAGAGTTTTACCTGCTCTATTTTCTAACACATTTAATGTTTTTGTTGTAGTATTTAGATCTTTAATCCATTCCAAATTTAGTTTAGTGCATTGTGAATGATATGGGTCCTGTTTTAATCTTCAGCATGTATAGAGCCAATTTTTCTAGCACCATTTATTAAAGAGGCTATTTTTCTTCCAGTAAATGTATTTGGCACCTTTGTCAAAGATAAGGTGACTTAGTATGTCAGAAGTTGTTTCTGTATCTTCTAATCTATTCTGTTGATCTTTGGGTCAGTGGGGTATTTTTTGTTTTTTGTTTTTTTTGTTTTTTGGGGGGGTTTTTTGCCAGTATTGTTTTTATCACAGTAGCTAGCTTTTATAGTATAATTTGAAGTTGGGGATTGTGTGATGCCCTGTCTTGCTTTTCTTGGCCAGGATTATCTTTATTATTGGTTCCAGATGAATTTTAGGATTGTTTTCTCTAATTCTTGAGATATGCTATTGAAATTTTGATTTGGATTGTGTTAAATTTGTATAACAGTTTTGGAAGTATGGCCATTTTCACTATATTGGTTCTTCCTACCCAGGAGCACAGGATATCTCTTCTTTTTTTCTTTTTTTTTTTTTTTTTTGGTATTGAGGATCAAACTTGTGACTTTGAGACTTTGGGCTTGCCAGGCAGGTGCTTTTGCCACTGAGCTAAATCTCTAGCCCTTTCTAATATCCTCTTCAGTCTCCTTTCTCAGGGTACTGTAGTTTCAATGCAGAGGTCTTTTACATCCTTGTTTGATTGATTTCTAGGCATTGCATTTTTTTGGATGCTATTGTAAAAGGTGTTGTTTCCCTGATTTCTCTCTCAGTGAGTTTGTATACAGGAAGGCTGTTGATTTTTGAGTATTGATTTTGTATCCAGCTATGCTACTGAATCGGCTTATTAAATCTAGTTTTTTAGTGGAGTTTTGGGATCTTCTATATAGAGTATCATGTCATCTGTAAATAACGATAGTAACTTCTAAAAGGAAAGAAGTAGCTATCTGTTATCTATAAACAATTATTAAATAATAGTAGTAGATTGGAGAGAGTTATTTGCAGGGGAAATCCTACTGATTAATGTGTGTTTTGTTTCTTGTCTTTTTGAGACAGAGTCTCATTATGCGGTTTGGGCTGGCCTTGAGCTCACTTTGTAGCTAAGGCTGGTCTTAAACTTACAAGGATCTTCCTGCTCAACCTCCAGAATGCTGGGATTGCAGGCATGTGCCACCATGCCTGTCTTAATGTTAATTTTGAGCCAAGTGTAGTGGCATATGCCTATAATCCCAGTATTCAAGAAGCTGAGGCAGGAGGAGCACTGTGAGTTCAAGGTCAGTTTAGGCTGCATAGTAAGACCCTATCTCAAAACAATAACAAAAATTGGTATAGGCAACGATAATCAATAGATGAAACCTTATCTCCAAGGATTGGGCTGGATATAGTGATCTAAAAATAGATTAATCTGTGTATCAGTTGACTTTTTCTATGTTACAGACCACCCCAAACTCTGGTTTAAAACAACAATTTCATCTGTTCTCACAATTCTATAGATCTGCTGGTAGAGTCCTTGGTTTATTTCTGCTTGCCTGACCTCTCTAGTCAGTTGGCATTGCATTCTATGTAATGTGGGTTTTGACTGCTCTAGGTGGCCCTAATTGAAACTACTCATCTCTGCTATAAATCTTTCTTATCCTCCAGTTGGTTAGGCCAGGCCTTTTTAGTTGGTGTCACAGCATTTGGAAAAGCAGCACAAAAGGAGGAAGCCCCAAAGGATACTGTTTGAGTATCTGCTTGTATCAGATTTGCTCTCGTCCTGATTTCCAGATCTGGTTGCATGACTGAACCTATGTAAGGATCAGAGAAGTCTACTCAAGGACATGTAGACATGGAGGTGTAGAGGAGAGGAGAGCTGTTACTGCTGCAACCTGTTACCAGTGCTGAACATCTGATGTGATGCTAGGTGGAGCATCCTGACCAACCTGTGACGTATTTTTTCCAAAATCATTGGACTTGTGTTCTAGAGTTAAATTTCCATTTTTCAGAGAATTCAAGAAATAGTGGAACAAGGAAAATGACACCACAAGGAAGTAGGTAGGCTAGCAGCCTTCAGTGCAACTCACTGAAATGTCCATATCTGTGCTTCCCCTTCATGTGGTAAAATACACTCTTGGCCTTTGTTTGGGTAGAGCCCTGTCATTGGCTCAAGGCCGAGTACTTGTTGCCTGAGTGAACCTTCGTAAGCTCGCTCTGCTGCTAAGATGACTAGCAATGTAACTGTTTGCCCAGCATTGCACCTGCTCCCTCAGGCTTGTTCTGGGGATGAGACTAATGATTAAATGTGGGGTGGATATGGAGAAAGAGGGAGAAAGTAAGTTTCATTGTTTTAACCACAGAGATGTTAGAGTTGCTGGGTCCCATAACATGTAACATAACGTAGCCTACCCTTAATTCATATGCACACAAATCTAGGATGTCCTACAGGACAAGCAGCCTGATTTCCTCAATAGTTCAGCAGCATTAAAATGTTAAGGACAGGGCTTTGCTCTAGATTCAAACAGACATAAGAGCCTCTGTAATCACACACCACACATGGTTCTTCTTTGGATGCTGATTTGAACAAATCAATTGACTTTTTTTTTTTTTTTTTTTTTAATCATCGATACCGGGGATTGAACTCACAACCACACACTTGCAAGGCAGGCGCTTATGCCGCTGAGCTAAATCCCCAGGCCCAAACAAATCAATTGAGCAAAGACATTTAAGATGAGTGGGGTGTTGGAGACATAGCTCAGTGGTAGAGCATTTGCCTAGTGTGTATGAGGGCCTACACTTACTCCCTAGAACACTGAAAACAAATTGGATAAATTTGCTTGTGGACTATGTTATTACTCATTTTGCTAGATGTGATACTGGCCATCTTTGTTAAGGAAATATCCATTTTTCAGAGATGTATGTGAAACTACGTAGAGTGAGTGAAATGATGTGATATTTGGAATTTGCTTTAAAATACTTAAGCAGAATGCAGTTGGGGCAGTGGCAGCCTTGGGGCTGGGTTGTCAGTGAGATGGCTTACCAGACTGCTCTGTTGGTGGGAAAGGGGAAAGGGGCAGGTGACGGCACTGCCCTGGAGAGAGCACAGCCATTGCTGTTGTAGAGGCTGCAAGCTGCACGGATCGAGGTTTTGCAGTGGAGCTCTTGTAGGTGTTCTGATTGAAGGCTTGAAACAGATGTGGAAAATGTTCACTTCAGTGAAAGGGGTTGAAGAATGGTCGTCAGTATTTAAGACCCTGCCAAAAGCGTCTTTACCAAATTATGCCACAAATTTGAAAGACCAGAGCTCTTTAGTTTCATCTCACTATAAAGTTATCCAGGAGCCATAAAGTGAGGTGCTGGAACCTGTCTGTCACCAGTTCTTTGAATTCGATTGCAGTAGAGAAGACCAGTTGCTTTCATTTATGTTGTAGTTTCTTCCTTAACTGATTTGGTGCTAACTTGAAATCTCAGCCAGCAGAAATGTACATAACAGTGGATGCATTGAAGCTCTTCTTCTAAGGATTTACAATTTAGAAATAGTTGACAAATAGGGACATAGCAAAGTATTGAGTTTTATAGTTCCATCTTTATTCAAACCATCTGTGTACCATGACCAGTACTGGGTCCACAGCTCTGACCAAGAGTCTACTATCCCAGCATGGGTTGTCAAAAGCCATGTACAGTGGACCTCATCCTTGAAGGAAGATGCCCACAGCCCAGAATAGATTTGAAGTGTTGTCATTCCTTTAGTTGTGTTACAATGCTGCCTTAACCTGTATGACAATGATTCTCTTCAATAACTGTGTCAAATTTGTTCAAGAATCTGTGTTTGTGAATATTTTCTAGTATGTAAGAAAATACAAATATGAGGGCCGGGGATTTAGCTCAGCGGCATAAGCGCCTGCCTGGCAAGCGCAAGGTCATAAGTTCAATCTCTGGTACCAAAAAGAAGAGAAAAGAAAATACAAATGTGTAAGTAGCAGGATACCAGTTTCTTTAGGATTCATGATATGAATATTAACAGACATTTATTTTGCCTTATTTAATGAAGAACAAAATCTGGCTCAAACAGCATGGGATATTATACACTTAGCCCAGCTAGAATTATATGCAGAGCAGTCTAATCCTATAAAGGCTTCATAGGGGCTGGGGATTTAGCTCAGCAGCATAAGCACCTGCCTTGCAAGCAGGCGGTCGTGAGTTCGATCCTCGGTACCGATAAAAAAAAAAAAGGCCTCATGGCCTTATGTGCCATGAAATCTTGTAGGAAAACACAAGTTGTATTCAAGTTGAAATCATACCAACTTCCTCTAAAATATCAAGAAATGCAGTAACCAGCATGTCAATGAGAGGTCACAAGTAGAAAAGACATGGAAATATGCAATTTATAGGTCAAGAAAACTAATGGGGAGACCTGAAGTTAAGGGATTTTATTCTAGGGCTGTCTTTAATACTAGCCAGCTGGGTTTATCAAGCAGTAGTCATACTTGCAATAATAGCACAAGTACAGGAAAGAACCAGAGACCATCAGGAAGAAGAAGAACTGGAGGAAAAAAAGAAACTACAGAGGAATGTTGCAAAGATCACTTTTCTCAAAAACAAACTCAGATAGCCCAAGGTGAGAATCTTGAGCTGCTTTCTTTGAAGAGACTAACCCTAACCACCAGCCAGTCCCTACCTAAGCCTACCAGCCACAGTTTGGCTGCTGCAGCAGCAACTGCATTTGGTAAATCCTTTGAACAAGTCAGTGGTGTCTCAGTCCCACATAACCCATCATCTGCCACAGGTTATGGGACTGGGACAAATGCCACTAGGTTTTCTGCTTGTAATCTTCAAGAAGAAAAGCTTGTTTATATTTCAGAAAGGACCAAACTTCCAATGAAGTATCAGACAGTTCAATGGAGATCTCTTAGTATTAATCTGTCTGCAGATTAATTCATAACATTCTGTCTGTATTCTCTGTTTTATTTTTCTCCTTTTCTTGAGTTAGGATCTGGAGGCAGCCTACCCATGTTCTGAACTTGGAGAGTTCTTGTCTTCACTCATCTTTCCAATCATTGTAGTTCAACTTAAATGTTTTTACTTAGGGATGTCCGACATGCTGTGTAAGATGAGAGCCGTGTAGGGCCCTGTCTCATGTGAGTGTAGTGGATTGAGGTTCACCTGGTAGGTCCCACCCCTGAAAGAGACAGCTTACAGCTACTGTTTCTCTTTATTTAAGGGGTATAGCATGTTTATTGTCTCTGCCTTGGTAGTGTTAGCTCCATAAGGGTTGCTTTAGTGTTTGTCTAAAGAATGAGTCAATGTTGTTTATTGACCTGTATGTCCACATTTCCTTACACTGTGAGATTTTTTTTTCTTTTACATATTTTCTTTCTTCTTTTTTTTTTTAATTTAAGGAGAAAAAGAAAAAAAAAGGATACAAGTAATACAAAATTTAAAAAATAAACAGTAAGAAATCTCTAGTTAATAGATTACATATTCTCACCTTAGAAATAGTTGTTCAAGTTACAAAATTAAAGCATATAAAGTGGACTTTCAAACAGTGAGAATGCAAACAGTTTTGTTCAATGATCCAAAAAAACTCAGTAATATGGTTATCCATCCTACACACTCAAACATATATGCAGTTATAACCTTTAGAGCACCTTCATTTCTTTTCTTTTGTACAATGACAATTACACATTTTGGGTTTTATTACTCCCACAGTTCTTATTACTTTTTTTGAAGAGAGTAAAACCAAATGCGACATATCAGAACAGAGTCAGTCAAATCAAAAGGATGGACATAATAGATAATGTAAAAACAAAATGCAAGGTGATCAACAAAGGTTACCATACTGCCTCTTGCTATCTTAAGAAGAATTGCCTAAATCATCAGTTATAATAAAATTGAACAAAACAGTAAAAATACAGCCAAAACATTAGAGACATTACAGGACTTTTAAAAGAAGATAATAGTCAACCAGAATGGGCGTCTTAATGAATCTTATTGTCTTCACAGTTGTTGCCTATACTTTCGAACTTGGTACTATCAAGGAAAGCAGAATACGGGAAAATCAGTCAAAACAAGATAGTGAGGGCAATACACGGTTTCAAATCAAGTTAATAGGAAATCAAAGTAGGTTACTATAATGTATCCTACTATTTTTTATTTATTTTTCCCTTAATTAAAAAGATAATAAAAAGTAACTAATTTTAAAAAGGGGAGGGATTGAGATAAAAGAGGGCATAACAACAGAATAGCGCAGATCAAAACATAACCATTTAAGCAAAATAGTGTTTCACCTCAAGATATCCTGACATAAAAGTAGTTACCATAGTGACTCTTGCCTTGAAAGCTTTGAATATAACTTCGTATACTATAGCACCAAACATATCAAGACACTGTAAAACCATTCAAGATAATGACATTATTACAGTATATTTAGAACCAGCTAACAGAAAATGAACAATGGTTTCTGTATAATCTCCTTGTCTACAAAAGTTTTTGCTTATGTTATCACATATAATAAAATCCAATAAGATACAACCTGTTAAGACCGATGGAGACAGAAGAATACAAGCTTGATGGGACTTCAAAGCAAGATGATACTAAATCAGCACTAGCTATTATGATGTCTTGTTTTCTCCAAAATAGCTGTTCCTACCATCCAACCTTCTCTGCCTCATTTCTGTTGAGATCTTTTTCTGTTGTTTGTTGTCAGTGTGTCTTCTTCATTTCGCTTTTTGCTCCATTCATTGTGACCTCTCTGCCATTATTTCTGGAATCTTGGTATTTTCCTTTTTTAGAATGTCCTACAGTATTCTCTGTAGAGTTGAATTGGTGGTTGCAAATTCCCTTAGTTCCTCTTTGTCCTGGAAGCACCTTGTTTTTCCATCAATTTCTAGGGACAGTTGTGCAGGATATATCAATCTTAGCTGGAGGTTATTATCTTTCAAAGCTTGAATTATTTCCCCCCACGCTCTTCGTGATTTGATGGTTTGTGCCGAGAAGTCTGCTGTAATTCTGATGGGTGTTCCCTTATAAGTGATCTGTTTCTTGTCTCTGACGGCTGTTAATATTCTGTTCTTATATTGGATTTCTGGAATTTTGATTATTATATGCCTGGGTGTAGCTGTGTTTGGGTTGTAGGTGGCTGGGGTCCTGTATGCCTCCTACATCTGAGTATCTTTACCTTTTGCTAAATTAGGGAAATTCTCTTGGATTTTTTTTTGTGTGTGTGTCTTTTTCCTTTTTATCAGTACCGGGGATCGAAGTCACGATTGCCTGCTTGCAAGGCAGGCGCTTATGCCGCTGAGCTAAATCCCCAGCCCCTTCTTGGATTATTTTTGTGAATAGCTTTTATAGTCCATTTGTTTGTGTCCCTACTTCTTCTTTTATGTTCTTAATTCTTAAGTTATAGATCCTGTTATCATCTTCTAGCCTTTGTATTATTGCTGTTTGTTTTTAAGAAGTTTTTCATTTCATGCTCCCATATTACAAATCTGCCCTCCAGTTCAGATAATCTTTCCTTAGTTTCTTTCAAGCTGTTATGCCAGCTTTCGATAGAGTTTTTAGTTTCCTGGTAATCTCTTTGAACCTGCTTCACGTATTCTGTGAATTTTTTTTTTTAACCAGTACCAGGGATTGAACTCATGAATACATGTGTATTTCTCTATTTTCTCCATCAAACAATTCTCCCCTTTTTTTCTCTGTTCTTCCATTCCACCATCTGTTTTTTCTTGGGCGGTGCTTAGCATTTCTCTAACTATTCTACTTACATCTTGCTTCAAGTCGTTAATAACTTCATTCCTGAACTCGTCTATGAGGCTTTGGAGATACTGCTTTATGTCTATTGGTGCCATGTCTGCTATTGCATGTTTCTCAGGATTGGGGACTGAGGACCCTTTCTTGTTGTTCCCTCTTCCCATATTTTTTGTTCCTGCTATACAAGTGTATATAGGAGGCCCAGTTTCTTTCTTTGTTGGTTACAGTTTGTTTGAATTGCGCCGGCTAGGTGTTCCCGCCCACTGCAGTGTACGAGGGAGAAACAGACCTGGGTAGCCTCTGCTGGGCCTGCCCCTCCAGGTCAACCTACCGAAGGCTTCACTGCTAGGGTGCACCTCCAGGCGCTGGGACCTGGTTTGGGCTAGCCTACTGGATCTTAAGTTCGCAGCATCACCCAGGCCAGGCACTCCCCATCAATCCCGCTTGAGAGTGGAATATTCCACTAAGGACACTGCACCGTCCTGTTCCGGCTAGTCTGCCCGGTCCCAATATGTTCTTTGCTGAAGCCTCCTACTCTGTGGAAGGGTCCCTGATCTGCTCACTCACTGCAGGTCTATGCAGGGCCCCCGGCCAGTCCCACTCTCAACTCCATTCACTGCTTCCCACTCTCAGAGCTTTTGCACCTCTCTTCTTGTCGTGCTGATTGGGACACAGCAGCAGCTGCCGGAAATTCAAATCATGGCTTCCAGTGGTGCGGGCTCCAGCTTCTGCGCTGAGACCTTATCTGTTCCTGTTATAACATCAGGATTGTGTTTCCAGTTGGCTTCTCTTAGTTTAGTTCGTTCCTGAGTCGGCGGGGTGTAACTCCCCTTGCTTGGGACTTCTTGCCTGGCACCATTCCTGGATTTTAAGTGTGATTTCTCAGAGAGCCTCTGAAGCTGCTGCTACCTATCTGCCATGTTCTCCCAGAAGTTTTTTTTTTTTTTTTTTTTTAACCAGTACCAGGGATTGAACTCATGACCACGCACTTACAAGACAGGCACTTATGTCACTGAGCTAAATCCCCAGCCCCAGTCTTTTTGTTTTTTGAGACAGGGTCTCACTATGTAACCCAGGCTGGCCTTGAACTCAGGGAAACCCTTGTGCCTTGGCCTCTCTAATGCTGGGATTACAGGCATATGCCACCATACCTGGCTACCCTGTGAAATCTTTGAAGAATTTTTAATACAGTTTACTAAAAACTCATATACATTTATAGATGTGGGCTGAAGGCTATCACAGTGTCTCACATAGCTAAACAACCAGTATTTAAAAGGATGAGTGAAAATGGTCTAATGACCATTTAGTCATGACAAAGAAAATATTACAGAAATGAAAATTATTGTGTCTGTTGTCCATTTACACGGACTTCTCAAAAGTACTACAGTCGTGGGTCTGAGGAGCAAGGGGGCATTCACTGTCTACTTCCCCTCCAAGGCCGCCCTTTGTGACTTGGTCCTGGTGGTGAAATGTCCCAGAGTGTGTGGCAGCACATCAGAGTTTTAAGCATATACACATAGTGTTTGCCACTGCTACAGAAATTCCACTTCTAGAAATACACTCTGGGGGGCTGGAGGTTTAGCTCAGCGGCATAAGCGCCTGCCCTTGCAAGCAGGCAGTCGTGAGTTCGATCCCTGGTACCGATAAAAAGGAAAAAGACAAAAAAAAAGAAAGAAAGAAATACATTCTGAGATGATCAGATAAGGGACAGATACACCAAGATAAATGGGAAAAAATTCATGGCAGTGCCACTTACAGGAGAACTGGAAACTACTATGGATCTACACACTGGAAATGTATGTGTACCTCCTGTGCCGTGTTCTAATGAGAGATGAGTCACACATAAATATAGAATACTTACTTGCAGCTAAAGATGGTGGAGGAAAGGGGTTTTTACTCCATTCCCTTTCTCAGAACTCTATTCACAACAAAAAGAACTATAAAAAAGAGGAAAGGATCTAATCTTCAAGGAGATAGTTATAATCCCTAATAGGAACATAGCCCTGTACTTGCTAAGCACTCTGAAATCTGAAGTTCAGTGAAGAAAGAAGTTAAGAACATGTGGACACCCAGAGCCGGTGAGTTTACTAGAAAAGCCTCATCCAGTTGTCCACTGCCTGGTCCCAAGAGGACAGCAACTGGCTGCAGCAGGAAGGAGGGTGTCCACATAGAGGCTCACACTAATGACACAGATTGGCAGGGAGCAGGAGCCAAAGGAGAAACCAGTTGAGACACTGAAGCAGCTCCTGGAGACAAAGCACAGTGCCTCAGCTTGGCTGCCACAGCAAAATACCACAGGCTGCGTGGTTTCACCAGCAGGCGTTTGTGTTCTCACAGTGCTGAAGTTTGGAGCCTCAGATCTGGAGACATGTCCCTTCCAGTGTGGTATGGCATGTGCTCTGATGACTTCTTGTATGTGAGTGTGCAGGGACGGAGAGAGCTCTCTGACATCCCTCCCACCCAGTACAGGGGATGGGACTCAGGGTCTTCATGCTGAGCTACATTCCCAGTCGATGTTATTTTAGGACAAGTCTTGCTAAGTTTCCTAGTTGGGCTCAAACTTGCAATCCTGCCTCAGTCTCATAATGCTCCGATTCCAGGTTTGTGCCTCTGTGCCTGGTAACTGTGTCTCTGCCTGTAAAGACACCATTTTCTTGTAGTTTTGCCCTCCTCTTACAACATGATTTTAACCTTGATTTACTCTCTGTAGGCACCATCTCCACATACAGCTGGGTAGTTGGGTAGTTCAGCTTCACACGAGTATGAGGAATGTGGGACATAATCAGTCCACACACAGCAAGTGAGAAGGCAGCTGAAGCAAAGAGGGAGCCACTGGCTGGCACTGTTGAGAGCACCCCTGCAAAGAGACTCATTCAGAGGCCAAGACAATGCTAAGGAAGAGAGGGAAGCAGGAGATAACTGAGGAAAAGCTACTGAAAAATAGGGCTTCAGCCAGTGTCTGAGAGGCTCGGCACAAATGGCACCAGGGCCACACTTCCCTAGTCGGGGCAGGGACCAGCCCTTCACCTAGTCACTGGCTCTGGGCACCACTTAAGTGTTATCTCTCAGGCAGTTCTGGGTAAGGCAGCTTCTGTCACGTGAGGGCAGTTCTCAGGAACAGGGTTCTTTGTGGGCCATTAGCAGCTAGCACTCAAAGCATGATTGTTGAAATAGCAGTGTTGGCCCTATCTGAGAACGTTAGAAATGCAGATTCTCAACCAGGTATAGTGCTACATGTCTGGAATCCCAGCATTGCGGAAGGCTAAGGCAGGTTGCCCAGCCTGAGGCATTTAATGACTTAGCAAGACTTTGTCTCAAAAAATAGAAAAATAGGGCTAGGAATGTAGCTCAGTTTGAAGGCCCTGGGTTCAGTCTCCCAAATCGAAAAGAGAGAGATGGGGTTGGGGGTAGATTCCCTAGCCCATCTCCAGATCTGTCTGATGGGGAATTCTTGAGGATAGGAGCCCTGAATGTGTGACTTACCAGGCTCTCCAGATAATTCGGACACATGCCAAAGTTTGAGAAGCACTGTTAGAGTAAGGGCCTCAGGACTAGAGCTGTGCAAGGAAGGGGAGGTGCAGCAGGAAAATAGGTAGAAGTGTAAGAACATTTATTGCAAGGGAAATTACACAGAACACATCAGGTTGAGACCTTAGTTATCTTACGAAATGACCAAGAGTTCAAAGAAGAGACACAAAGATTTAAAGAAAAAATTATGACACTAAAGATGGAAAGTGAGCTAGTAGAGCTAAGTAATGGGAAAGAAAAACATTTTTCAAGAGTGAAAGTCACGTAAGAAGCAAGGTGTGGTAGTTAACTGGCTGTGTGAGTAAGAGACGCCCAGCTACATTGGATCAGCATAGTTCTGGGTGTGGAAGACCCACCCTAGGGAGAATTGTCACCAGAATAAATAAAAGAAATGAAGGAAGGCTGCGTCCATTTCTTGGAGGAGCTCGTCTTCACCTTCACCGTGGACGTGTCTCCTGGCTTCCGGCACAGATCCCTCAACCTCCTGATAAGGATTCACGCAGGACCCTGCACTGACCTCCAGACCTCCAGCTGGATCCTGGGGGTCTCTGGCGCACAGACAACCCCTCTGCACTCTTCCACAAGAGTGGAAGCCAGTCCTCTTGCAAGCCAGTCTTGTAAATTCTTATATATTTGAAGATCTTGCATTGAAACTATTTCTCTAGTGAGCTCTGACTATTACTCAAGAATGATGATAGTCCTGTGTGGAGCCCTCAGAGTTTAGTGAGAAATACTGAAGTCCCTCTAGATATTTTCAGCAGAGAGAATGAGGGAAATAGGTTACAGAGTAGTGGGAGAGGCTGGGAAAGCAACGGCACACCTGTGACCCTGTGTTAAAGCCCAGGACCACGCTCACTGTTGCCTGTGGAGGTGTATCACTGCCTCTGGACAGATGCCACCGGCCACCATGGCTGGTGATACTACACTCAACACACAGTCCACTGTAATCCTCATACCCAGAACTGGGAGAATGGCTTTGTCCATCCAGCTGCCTTGCATTCCCCTAGGATGCTCCCCCATGCCTGTCTGCAGACCCTACCCAAAGGCAGCTGCCAGGGGAGCAGAGGAACGCAGCTTCATGGAACCAGGGAGGGCAATGGAAGAGGAGGGGTGCGTGCAAACCAACACACCCTAGCACAATAACCCAGTATAGGAGCTTGTAAAAAGTTACAAATTGACATGGGGAAGAACAGAAACGGGGGAAATTGCAAGGTGGGTAGAGAAGATGATACTAATTAGAAAAGGAGCTACAACACCTGTAATCACAGGTCCTGATAATAAAGCTAGTGCCATAAAAAAGAGATTCAGGGCAACAGAAGAATGTGCTCCTGAAATTAAAATATAAGAAACTTAGGATCAAAGTGTTCAGAGGTATGAGCTTGCTGTGTTACCCAGCCTGTCATAAAGTGATAAACTACTAACTACTGCTTCAGCCTCCCAGGTAGCTGAGATAATAGGCACATAGCAGTACGCCTAGCCAACGCCTGTCTTTACTGCTAGAAGACAGTCTAGCGATGTTCCTAAGTCTGAAATAGCCTGAAACACAAGAATCTGAAGCCCAGCCATGCATCTTGTCAACTTAAAGATTCATGCCTGATATTTGTAAGCCAGGCTTCAGGAAATAGGGGACTCATATCCTCCATAATGAAACTACTGGTGACTCCAGCTAGCCAATCTGTTCATCAGCTTGGGTCTCTGGGAATCTTCCTCAACCAGATACCTAACAATGCTGCATAGAATTTTTTAACATTTTAAAATCAATGGCAAAATTACCAAAAGTAAGAGAAAATATTCTGTAGCCAGGATGAATTGAGAGTTTAGTTCTAGGAAGAGCCAGTGCTACAGTGCTGGCTCCTCTGGGGCCACCTGCCAATTCCTGGCAGCCAGAGCTATTTCTAGGCTGCTGCCAGGGGCAGAAGGCCCTGTCTTGGGCTATCAGAATGGGTGAAACTGATTCACCACATAAAGTCAAGAACTACAAGGGGTATCTCCCACAGAAAACTAGCAAAGAGGGGTCATCTCATCCAAAACAGACAGACAGGATATGGGGTGTAGTTCAGTGTTGGACCCCGTGTAGGGATATGCACAAGGCCCTGCCTTTGGTTACTGGCACGGCAAAAAGAAAAAAAGCAAAGGACAGGTTTTGATGAAGTATTTTCTTTGAGTCTGGTAATGTAGACATCCGGACAGGACATATCAAAAGTATTTATTTTTTTAACCTCCCAGTACTTTGTGATACTAGTCAAACAGAGTGGGCTTATCCAGACCCAGAGAGGTTGCTTTTGAAGAAACACCACTTTTCCACCATCAGATTTCAGCCCCAGAGCTCTCTCAGTTCCTGTACATGTTCTTGTTTCTAGTTTTGTCTACATAGTTCCTCTCCTTGGGATGCCCCTCTGCCTTTCCAAATATAAGCACTGGGCATCCCTGAAGACCAAGCTGAAGTGCCACTGGTGCCATGAGCTTGAGATTCACCCAGCTCAGAGGTATTGCAGTCCTTTGTGACCAGTGATCAGGCTAACATAACAGCACTCCACCTTGAATTGGGGTTGATGAAATGTATGCTACTCCCCCTGAAATTAAGCTGCTGGAAGATAAGCATCCTGAAAAGAGCCAGCACTCAGTTAACATTTGATGGGTTAAATTGAAGGAACTTGACTAGAAAGCTGAGGGTCTATGTCACCATTCTGAAAACTCGATTTCCACTCCTGTCGTTTGTTGAAAACTGGAAGATTTCTGTGCATTATCAACATGAATTGGAGGGCCATTGAAGAGCCATTCTGAAAGTATTGCCCTATCCACTGTCTTCTGTGGGCTTCAGTACGTAGGAATGTCCCACCATCTCGTGGAGAGAATTCTTTCTGACCTCAGTAATCTCAAACTCATGCCTGTGTCAGCCAGCTACTTTGGCAGGAGAGAGCATTTTTATTCAGTATTCCTGCTGTCCTTCAGACCCCTAGTCCTCAAAAGGGAGCCCGTGGAGGTGGGTACGGAGCAATAAAGATGATAATCATGATAACAGCAAAGACTTCCATGGTATTTTCTCCTAGTCAGACACAGTTCTGAGTGTTTCACTCATAAATTTTCTATGGTAGGCACTATCAATGTCCTGTTTCATATTTCAGATAGCAGTGCAGCTGAGCCCAAGCTACATAACCTAGAAGGAACGGAGCACAGTCTCTGCCTTAACATTAGAGATAGCATTTGAATCTGTATTATTTCCAGCATGGATAAATTACGCAACTCTCTGAGCTCTGATTTTTTCACTAGAGAAAAGTGCATATAATAATCTTCTCTTTGGAATAAAAAAATTAAATAAGAATTTTTTTTTGTCTTTTCCGTTTTTATCGGTACCAGGGATTGAACTCACGACTGCCTGCTTGCAAGGCAGGCACTTATACCGCTGAGCTAAATCCCCAGCCCCTTAAATGAGAATTCTAAAGCATTCTTTTTTTTTTTTTTTTTTTGGTATCAAGAATCGAACTCATGACCTTCTGCTTACCAGGCAAGCACAGGGTCACATCCCCGACCCTTTAAATGAGAATTCTACAAAAGCGTAATCTATAAAGCATCTGTAGATTAATAATAACTTTTTAAAACGGTAACATGGGCAGCTACAGTGGCATGCAAGATGACATGAGCCCAGGAGTTCACAGACAAACTGGACAACATAGAAACTGGAAGATTTCTGTGCATTCTGTGCATTATCAGTAGATAATGACAGATCCTTCATTTAAAAGAAGATCAAATGGTATTAAAAATATTAGCATTGTAACAAATAAAACATGGCTAGGGAGAATGTGTTTTATACTAGCAAAATGTCTCCCAAGTCCATTCTTTGTCATGTTGTGAAGATAGTTTGATTCCAATGTAAAAATTACTTCCCTCTAGAAGATTTCACAGGAAAATACCACATCTGACATGTAACACATAAAGACTGAGTGTTCTTCCCACCCCCTGCCTCCAGTATGTGGTGCTTTTGCTGATCAGATTGCAGTGAGCTATAGTAAAGGATAGATCAGGATGACACAATATAAAATGAAAAGATCACACAGAAGCCATCCAGAATAGCCTGATACATTTTAATTGTTTTGTGTTAGTCTGCTGCATCTTAAAACATTTTCTTTCAAATCAGGTCACAGCTGTGTGTACTTTAGACTGTGACCGTCATGAACAAATATGAAAAGAAGCAGAGTTAGAGTCGATGAATACCAATGGTTATCCAGTACAAATGACCATTAAGAGACTTGTGAAGAAATAAAACAATGTCAAATACGTGTTTGTGTGAAACTGAACAACAATCTGCTAGTGCTGGTTACCTGCTTTAGTGAAAGTAGTCTTTTTTTTTTTTTTTAGCTTTCTTTTGAAAAGTAAAAAAATCCTCCCCTCAAAATGCCAAACAGTGGGAGATAAATATATTTGAAGTTGGAAAAGCAAATTTCTTGCTGGAAGAACTGGAAGTGTGTTACCATGGAAACTCACCATCCTTCCACCAAGAACAACTGATTTAATATTTTGGCAACGAAGAGGTTACTACCATCTTCTGATCCTACCACCTCCTCTTAGAATTCCTTAATGTACCCTAACAATTGAAATTCTTCCCCTGCTTGATCCTACAAACCAATTATTTTCCTAAATGGTCAATTCTGGGAATGGCAAATTTGATCAGATTGGTTTGCTTAAAATGAGGTATGTCATACTGAGCCACTTGTGAGAGAGATGATGACACTTCAGAAGCACCCCTGTGGAGTGTGACTTCACAGTGACGCTGTGCAGTGAGTGGGATCAACGGCAGTAGTGTGGAGTAGTGTGTTTTTTCACAGTTCACTTGCAAGAACAGCTCAAGTGATGCTTCATCTTCAGATTGTAACAGTTTGTCTTGGTTGGGTGCTATGACCTGTACCTCCTAGAGGGAGTTGTGTGCTTGAATCAGGAAAATCTGAACTAGTGGTTCATCTGGGAACACAAGTCAGAGGCGAAGACAGCTGTGCTGGGAAATGAACTGAGCTGGAAGGAGCTCTCCTGTTGGTCACCTACATCCACAGATTAAGTATGGAGCTTTTCCAGAACACCACGAACTTCCTCAGGATTGTAGTTCCAAGGACCAGATTTACCCTGCAAAAGAGGTCAATCAGGGATTCCTAGATTTCCAACATGTAAGGAATTTGCAGGTCTGGAGCTTGCCGGTGAGACATGAGCCATAGCATCTGTACAGGAGTCATCAGTGCAGCCCAATGAAAGGCAGAGGCAAACTTGGGGTGGATCAGATCCCCGGAAGGTGTGTAGAGCAGCACCAACATTTAACTGGGAGATGTCAGGGCTTTTTGGCGCAGTTGAGAGACAAAGACAGATAAGAAAAGCCTTTATTGTCAGCGTGGGAGGGCTGCTAGTGACTGTGAGGATGCTCAAACAGGAGAAGCTGGAGAATGGCTTTTATGGAGTTGGGCTGTAGGTGGAGATTAGATGACTGGATGGTGTTGGGAGGGGATTGGAGGACCTTTGGGGGCTGGAAGACATGGAAGGTAGTGTAGGAGACATATGCTGTTTGGGGGGGTGTTGGTTTGTTTGTTTGTTTTGTTTTGCTTTTGCGGGGGTAGCGGGGAGTCAGTACCATGTAGAACCTGGTAGAGTCCCATAGAGCAAAACTCATCAGAAGACTTGACAGAGAAGTGGGTGGGAACTAGAGAAAGTAAAGTGACAGTTTTAGGAGGAAAAAAGGCTCTATATACACAAGCTTTTATTCCAGCATCATACCCTCAGACATGCCTTTCTCCGTGGCAGTCCTTGCATTGAGTCCTTCTGTTCCACACCGCTGCCTTCTCTGCCTGTCCAAGCCCTGTCCCTAGCTGACTTCTTCAGCCTCTACTTGGGCAGCTGCCACACCTCCCAGCCATTCCCAGTTCCTGCTCCCTGCAGACCATTCTTCACCCCGTGGCCAAAGGTCTTAGTCAAGTACAGGTCAGATCGTTCCTCTTTCCCCTCAAAATGCTTCTATCGCTTTTCTTTGCCTCTGATGAAGGCCAAACTCCTTGGTCCAGAACCTCCATAGCCTACATGCTCCAGTGCCCTGTCCATGCCCTGCTCTCTATGCACCTGTGATTTTGGCCACCCTGCACCCTCTATTTGCAGTGATTTTCACTCATCATGCTTACTTGGCTGGTTCTTTTTGCTTTCAGGCCCAAACTTGCCTCAGCCTCTGAAATGCCTATGGCTCCTCAGGGCTTGGGAAACCTGCAGTCTGGGAACCACAGCAGTCTTAAGGCCTCACATTGTTCCCTTTACAAATCCTCTGTGGCCAACTCTATGTTATAACAGCAGAATGGAGGTGTCTGGGACTCAATGTTTATTTGATCCACAAAGCAAAAATACATTTACTATTTGGCCTTTTATAAATCCTGCTCCAAATCCTCTGTAGCCTGTCAGCACTTGGGACACTGGGTTCTTACTCTTACTTGAGTCTTTCTTATCTCCAGGCTGTGAGCTCCTTGAGGTAGGGCAGGAGTCATTTTTAATTCATTTTTGGTTTCTAGTACTTACACAGGGACTAGCCCAGGAAGCACTGAATCCTGCCAGGTTAGAACCATGATTAGAGGAGGGTGGAAGGCAGAACCTCTGGCCCTAGCACCATGGGTCTCCAATCAGGCGATGTTAGAATTGAAACCAGAGCTTTCCTAGTGACTTTGAGAGAGTTATTTCCCCTCGCTGAGGATCATTTATAAAAGAGAAACAACAGTTTGTATATCTCAGCTTAACACCAAACAGGGCTGGGCTAGTCATCTGGGTTAGAAGGCAACCAGGAGAATGCAGCTAGGGACTTCGTGAACATCATTTTGTCCCTAGTGAGATGGGGACCAACCACCTCATTTTGCAGAAAAAGAAACTCAGACTCTATGAGGCCAAAGGACCTGTTATGGTCTCATGACTCGCATGATTTGAATCTATATCTGCCCAATGTGAAGCCCTCTTTACCCTTATCCTTTGTTGAATCCCTTGCCCTCCCTGTGCCCCTATCCCAGATCACTACCTTATAGAGGATCCTGCCTTCCTGAAGTACATAGAGCCTCTCAGGCAGGGCTGCATAGAGCTGGCTGCTCTCGTTCTGCATGGTGTCCACCACCACAGGGCACTGGGGGCTCTTGGCCAGCAGCAGGTGGGCTGCCCGCATGCGGTCCTGGAGGTTCTGGTGCTGCCTAATGTCCACATTGTTCTTAAAAGCCCAACCATCTGCAAGAAGAAAGGTCAGGTACTGAGGCCCACAGGCATGTGACATACGTTCTGCATATCATACACCACCCTCTTTTATTGAAGGTCTGAGACAGAGGTGCCCTTAGCCGTGATATGACCCAGTGTCTTATTAGCAGTGAATGTACAAGGTCACCTAGGGACTTACTGATTGATCCAGAGCTAGCCTCAGCTCTTCACTGTGAGATGGTGCAACAGTCACATGCTTCTTGATCATTCATGCACTTATGGATCGCTTGGAGACATTGTTAAAGGAAGATTAGGATTTGATCAGGGGGGAGGGTACTGAGAGTCCAGGATGCCATGACCACTGGTGTGGCAGGAGTCTAGATCAGTGGCCCTCTGAGTGTGTGGTCCGCAGCCCAGCTGAAAAGGGATTATTGTACCTTATAGTAATACAAATTTTCAAGCTCTACATTAGGCCACCCAGAAATGGGACCCAGCAATCTGTATTTTAGCAGCCTTCCTCATGATGCTAAGGCACAGTGAAGTTTAAGAACTACTACTCTATGGCCGGGGAGTTAGCTCAGCAGTGTAAGTGCCTGCCTGGCAAGCATGAGGTTATGAGTTTGGCCCTCCCCTTGCCCCCCCCCCCCAAAAAAAGAACTACTATAGAACCTAGACAACCTCTTCTAATTTCATCACCACAGTATTCTTTCCAAGTGAAAATATGACCATGTCACTCTTCTGCTTAGACCTTGAGTGACTCCCTATCACCTGCATGACTCATTCCAGGGTCCTTGGTGTGGCCCATGAGGCCCTCAGTAGCTTAACCCCACTCCCCCCACCCAAGTACCCAAGTAGTGAGTGAATTACTTTGATTTCTTGACCCTCGTGTATCAGGGCCTTTGTCTGTATATATTCACTTATATGCTATCCCAATCAGGTTATACAGACTGGTCTTTCTGTATATCTCTCTCCTTACATTTTGCAGAGATGCTTTTCTCCTCACCTGGCTAGCCAGCTCTGGTTACTCACATAGTTCCTACCGTCCTCACTGTCACTCATCCTTGAACTACTCCCTCCTTCACAAGATAATAAATTCTGGGGTAGGCCTTGAATCAGGGCCTTTGCTGTATATCCTCACTTGGATGGCACTTAGGACTCCTCTGCTGCTCATAACTTTGAATATGTCTTAGTGTCTTTACTCTCACCATTGGTTGCATTGAAAGTGGTATATTGGAATTAACTCACTAGAATTCTAATGTTTTTATGAGATTACAAATATAACTTTACAGAGTAAGAGGTAAACTGGAAGAAGGATTACAGTATATGGATTATAATACACAGTGTTTGGATTACAATATATTATGTTGGGATTTCAATACTACTAGTTGAAAAAGCAACCATAAACCACTGACCGTCTTTCTGCATTCCTGGGGTGACTGGACCCCAGGCAATGTAGTGTGCTAGGTTCCCTCAGAAGCTACGTGGCCTGTGTTCACAATAATTGCTGCTTCTGTGGGTGATGAAAGTTGATTTAGCTTGCCAGCAGAGGAAGCGCCACCTCCTCAGGGCTTCCATCGTGCTCAGTACCTCTCCCCCAATTAAAGCAGCTCTGCACAGGGATTCCCATCCAGATCCAAATGTCTGCCAGAGCTTAAGGCATTATTACTTATCATCAAAAAAATTTTTTTGTCTTTTTCATTTTTATCAGTACCAGGGATTGAACTCAAAACTGCCTGCTTGCAAGGCAGGCGCTTATGCCGCTGAGCTAAATCCCCAGCCCCTTATCATCAAATTTGATGATGATAACTAGTTTATCTGTACCACCGTAGGGCAGTCTGACCTGCCATTGGCCCATTAGAGCTTCATGGCAGCCTCCCATGGGAGGCCAAGCGGGTTTTTCAGTCCCAAGGGACAGCTGAGAACATGAAAACCAAGAGGGGAGCAGCAACTCACTTCCTTGCTAGAAATGTGCATGTCTTATAAGAAGGAGCTGTGTGTGTCTCCTGTCCTGAACTCCCTGGGCCTGCACAGTCCTGGGCACATGGCAGGTGCTTTTAAATACTGTGTGTGTCTCCTGTCCTGAACTAGCTGGGCCTGCACAGTCCTGGGCACATGGCAGGTACTTTTAAATACTGTGTGTGTCTCCTGTCCGGAACTAGCTGGGCCTGCACAGTCCTGGGCACATGGCAGGTGCTTTTAAATACTGTGTGTGTCTCCTGTCCTGAACTAGCTGGGCCTGCACAGTCCTGGGCACATGGCAGGTACTTTTAAATACTGTGTGTGTCTCCTGTCCTGAACTAGCTGGGCCTGCACAGTCCTGGGCACATGGCAGGTGCTTTTAAATACTGTGTGTGTCTCCTGTCCTGAACTAGCTGGGCCTGTACAGTCCTGGGCACATGGCAGGTGCTTTTAAATACTGTGTGTGTCTCCTGTCCTGAACTCCCTGGGCCTGCACAGTCCTGGGCACATCGCAGGTGCTTTTAAATACTGTTGATTGAATGGTTCTGAGGGAGTGTGGTTGTCCCTTTTTTTTCTTTTGTACCAGGAATCAAACTCAGGACCTCATGTTTGCCAGGCAGGCATTGTGCCACTGAGGTATATCTCTGGCCCTTTGTCCTGTTTTTGTGGTAAAGAAGCAGGCATGAAAGTAAATTGACCACACATGCTAGAACTGGAGTCACACCCAAAGGACACCATCTTCCTACCACACTCTGTGCCTCTGTGTGTTTTCCTGGACAAATGTAATGTGTGAGGGAAAGCAAGGTGATTAATTTGGCCTCAGACCTCACACCTCCCAGGGTTGGTAGACACTGGCTGTGTACATTTTGTTTCTGGGGTCCCAGCCATGCCCAGTCCTGTCTGCCTGATAGAAGCAAGGACCGTGGGGGAAGGAGACAGGGAGGAGGAAGAGCTGCATGTGGTAGGAGGAGCAAGGCCCCAAGGCGGGAAACTGGACCATGTCAAGATGGGGGCAGGAAGCCTTTCCTCTGCAGCTTGAGGTAGACAACTCTAGTTCTAGGAAGGGTTAAACACACATGTCTGATTTCAGGGAACATGTATTAGGAGATAAAGAAGCACTGTTAGTGACAATCCAACCACTCTTACTGCAGTTTGCTGTTCGTTCTTTGGGAGATCAAAGCTGGGTCCTCCTAGGACCTTCTTACTCAAAATGTCCCAGATCAGCAGCCACACCTGGCACTCCCCATCCTGCCAGATCCAGCATCTGCATTTACTCAGATCCCAGGTGATTTTGTGCATACATTAAATTTTGAAAAGTACCTGCCCAGCAGGCTTAAATAAGCTTTGACCTAGTGTATCTGTCAGCTGTGGTGATCTTAGGACTTTGTCTTCTCTTAGCCAGGGATGCCAAAGTCACTGTCCAAGGTCTCTTTTTTTAACTGATGGCTGCTGTTCTCACAGAGTGGAGTGGGGGTTCACAAAGAGACATACTGTGCTTGTGTTTGCTCTCCTATTTCACAGGCTGTTTTTTTAAGGCTTTAAAATGGAAATTTCAAATATACATAGATAGAACAGTGTAGTGAATTTCATGTATCTCTTACCCTATGATAATACTTTAAATTGCCACCATATCTTAATGAGTGCAGAAGCCGCAATTAAATGAAGACAGTATTGAGTTGAAAGTAGCTTTCAAACCTTTGGGGCTGTATAAATCAAGATGTAGCAGGTGTGATGCCGAGCTCTGGAATACGTGTTTTCCATAAACAACCCAGGTAGGTCTGTCACTAAGGGATCCAGGAACCACACTGTGAAAAACATCACTGGACCAACTTGGCTGAAAATTCATCAATGCAGTCTCTGTATACAACCCGTAGACAAGCCAGCAGGGCCAGTATTGTCTAAACAGGTATTCACCTGGTTTGTGCACACCGACAGTGACAAGAAATCCACAGAGTGCTGCAAACTGCACCTCAACCATGTCACAGAGAGATAAATAAATAAAGGAGAGAGATAACATAAATAAAGGACATCAGTTCCTTCTGGCCACACAAGCCCACTCTGCCACCTTAGGATTCGAGAGTTGGGCTAGATTCTTGGGTTCAATCCTCATGAAAATGAGAGAGAGAAGATTGTGTCTGACCATGAGTCAGTACCTGGAGGGACACCTGTAAAGAAAGACTGTCTCACTTTTTCAGCTTTCTCAGCAAGGAACCAGTGTTTCTTGTGGGATGGTGATGATAAGTGACCACCAATTAAGAGCTTGTACAGAGAGGATTCCCACCCCAGACTTAAGTTGGCGACAGCAATGGTTCTCGAGGTACGGTCCCCAGGCTAGCATTGTCAGCATCCTTGGAACACTTCAGAAGTACAAGTTACCAGGCCCATCTCAGAGCCACTAACAGTTTTCTGTAGCCAGTGCTCCAAGGGCTTCCAGTACTTGCCAAAGGTTATGAACTACTGATCCAGGTGATCCATAATGTCCTTCTGAGTCCTAGGCTGTTCTCTCCTGATTTTCCTGTTTATCCATTCAAAATATTGGAATGCAGAGGAACATGGTGGCCCAGGTTTGTAATCCCTCTGGGAGGACACCAAATTCATGCCCTGCCTGGGCAATTTAGTGATATGGCAAGACTCTATCTCAGAATTTAAAAAATGAAATAAAAAGGGCTGGGATGCAGCTCAGTACAAAAGCCTTTGGTTCAATTCCTAGTACCCTCCTACTGGAAAAAACTCAGCATGTTGGAATACTCTCCAGGAAAACCCCATCTCCAGGTTTTTGGAAATATGTGCCTGTTTGAAGCCAGACTGGCATGACCGAGGGGCTGGGAGGTGGTGTGGCCTGGTAAACGGTAGTTCTCCTTCTCCTCCTCCTCTTCTTCCTCTTCCTTGCGCCTCCCCACCTTGAGGGGAAGCTGGGGAGAAGGGAAAGGGGAAACAGTGGGTGGGAAGAAGTAGAGGCAGAGAATCTTTTGGTACCTGAGGCATGTGCTTCTTCAATGTAAATGATGAGAAAATCTGCTATGGGATGGAAGTCTTCAATAAGTCTCTTGAATTGGTCAAATTTGAACATAAACGAAGGTCAGGTGCAACTTCCAAAATTCAGTACCAGTGGCCTGTTGCCTAAAATAAAAAAGAAACCATCGTAAACCAAGAATCCATGTTTCCTTTTGCAGGAGCAATTTCCCTCCTGCATTCGGTGCAGCCATCTTGATTGTCCCCAAGAACAGGCCTCACTGGGGGTGGGACATGTGACCTAGCAGGCACTGCTTAACGACCCTGGAGCCAGCCTCCAGTTCTCCAAACTGAGACAGTTTTATTAGGGGGATCTCAGTGGACCGCTTGCAGACAGGCTGTTGGTGAAATAATGGAGTCCCTTTCATGCAGTTTATCAGGCAAGGTCCCCTCTCTCGTGTGAGGGAGTTGGTAATACTGCAGGGTAAGCCATTTCCCCTATTTTACCGATAAAGAAAGTGAGGTTCATAGACTTGTTCCAGAGCCAGCCATGGGTAGGTCAGTGTGAAGTCCAATGAATACTTGGGCTTTGAAACTCTCAAGTCTATGCTTTCTATTCAAACGCCTCATTTTCCTCATCCACAACTGGACAAAATAGTAATACATGCTTGACAGAATTGCTCTGAGGGTTAAGTAAATTATTATTGATAGGATTTAAAATGTTGGCTAGCTTATAGTAGATCCTCAGTACATACGAGCCGCTGCTGTTAGCTCTTCTTTTTTCCCTGAGCTCTGACCCAGGGAGACAGGAAAGGGCTGCACAGAGGGTGAGGTAGGAACAGAACCTGTTGCAAAATGAAAACAGGCCCTCTGTTGAAAAAATAGGGCCAAGTGCCATTACCTTTATTAAAATCAAAGGCTTGGGGCTGGGAATTTAGCTCAGCGGCATAAGCGCCTGCCTTGCAAGCCGGCAGTCGTGAGTTCGATCCCTGGTACCGATAAAAATGAAAAAGACAAAAAAAAAAAAAAAAAATCGAGGGCTTTCCCTTCTCTTCTGCTGTCTCTCTCTTGACCTGGTACAGCTTTCAGTTGCCATTCAATGTCACATTTCCCAGGCACAAGGAATTATACAAGGTAAAGCCATGGAGCTCAGTGAACACATATGTGTGTGCCTGTGGCTTCAGGCCACCACTTCCTCTTCCCTCCTGCCACATACATGTGCAAGGCAGAAGTGCAGAACCAAGCCAGACCTTGCCTTTCGCACCGACATACCATGCTGGTCCACAGTGTGCAGAGCCATGCTGGACACCCTGACGGGGAGAGGAGACAAGTGGCTTCTCCCTCAAGGTGGCACAGCCACTTTCTAAACTGCACCATGGCACTAAGTCCAGAATGGAGATGACAGCCTCCATGCCCTGCCTCAAGACACTGAGCATTGCCCACACCTTAGGAGTATGGGACCCTGCCTGGGAAGCCAGGGCAGGAGTCTTAATGTAACTCTCTGGCCTTGATAGGATGCCTGTAGGGGGCTGCCAGTGGTTATTATGGCCATAGTTGAAATATTGTTGCACATCTGTACATCTTTTGGATTGTGCCTGGTCCTGCACTGTGACATGGCCACTGTCCCTTGAGCACCGAGACTCTATCTAAACTGCACATAGTTTGAAGTCTGTTTAATGGGGAGACTGGTATAAAGCGAATAAACATAGAAGTGAAGTTATTTCAAATAGTGACAAGTGTTATGCAAGAGACTGTAAAGGAGTGTCCTGCTTTATACAGGGGGTTCAGGGAGGGCCTCTGGGGAGCTGCCATTAATCAGAAATGAAGGTTAGCAAAGAACCAGCCAGGGGCAAAGGGAGAAGGGCTGGTAAAGAGATGCTGTCTATAGAGTCCCCAAGGAGGAACAGAGCTTAATGTGTTCTAGGCCTGTCAAGATGGCTGGAACCAGGCAGGAGGAGCAACAAGACAGATGATTGAAGAGGGAGAAACCAGCACAAGAAGCTCTCATGAGCCTTGGTGAAGAATCCAGGTTTCATTCTAGGTGTAAAGGGAAGTCATGGAAATATAAATTGTTGCAATTTTGGCTGCCTGGTTCCTGGGTCTCCTTTCTAGTTGGAGTTCCCTCTTTTGTGGGCTATTGATGAAGGAGTGTGCCACCTTTGCTCACTGGAAGATACAGGGGTGAGGTGCACACTTTGCCCCCAACAGCCAGGGTACAGGCGCAGATCCCTGATTCAACCTTCTCATATAGATTACTTTTTCCTGTAGTACTAGAGATTGAACCTAGGGCCTCGAACATGCTAGGCAAGCGCTCTGCCACTGAGCTACATTCTCAGCCCCACCTGCACCCCTGTCATTGCCCTTTAGAGGCTGGGTCTTACTAACTTGCCCAGAGTGATCTTGAACTTGCAATCCTTCTGCTTGGGGCTCGGTCTCTCTCCTGCCTAGTCTCTCTCCTGGCATTACAGATCAGCCTGCTTCAATCTTTGATCCTTGAATCACTGAGATGATAGGATTCACTCATAGATGGTGCCCCAGGGAAATGTAGTGATGGGCTTGCATGACTACAGTGATAGGAGAATCCAGGTCTTACTGCTGATACTAAAAAAACTGCCCGCATCCAAGGCTCTAGTTTTGTTGATTCTGGAGGAGCTCCCAATTTCCAGTATTTTGCTTTGTGTATGTGTGTGTGACTAAAAAAACCAAGGTGAGCTTCTGTTACTTGCAAACCAGACCCCTGACTGCGATAGTAGGGCTTACAATGATCAGGTTCACACTGGAGGTCACTCCATCTTCTCAATGAAGATCTGAGTGCGAGAATGAAAGTGGAGGAGGCAGGAAAGGGGCATTGGAGAATTCCCGTGCAAGAGGACAGGAGCCAGGCATGTATGTAGGCACAGAGTAGGTGAATTAACAGAGCTTGCTGACTGCTGAGAACTAGGGGACACCTAGCTGGCTGATAGTTTATTTGGTCAGCTGTGCATCCCTCTTGCTCTGGAAGGGACCTAAAGAAACTTGCATATATAAGAAGTTATTAAATAGAAATTAAGGAAAATATAATCCCCCTCTCCGAAGGCACAGAACAGGAGGGGAAAATGGAATACACACATACATGGGCTGTAAGTTTCCATGCATTTATCATAAGTGCTATATTTAACTCTGAGTTTCCTAGTGGCCAAGTAAAAAGAAAAGCAGTTAGTGATGTATCCCTAACCCTCAGTCTGTAACTAGTAGGAGGTAAGCTGGTTTCTCTGGGATGTGAAGCTATCTTGCCTTTGGCTCACAGCTTGTTTGCATGGGGGGGGCCTTGAGAGGTAATGATTGGTTTGGCCCTGCTGGCTGATTGTACGATTTCGCATCCATGTGACAGGAAGGCCCAGGCCTCAATGGGAGGCTCCAAGGTCAGTCATGGACTGGCTGGTCATTGGACTGTAGTGACACCAGGGAGTCACTCTTTAAATAAGGAAAGTCCAGGCTTCAGGTCAAGACCAATTCTAAATATTAACTGTCTGGAATTTTGTTCTTTATTGACAAAAAATTCAACATCTACTGATTAGGACCCTGCAAGGGACAGAGACATTTGTTTAATTATTTATAAATGTGGCTGGTACAGTGATCAAAGTTGAGGGCAAAGTTTCAACTTGATTCCACGTTTCCTGGGAGCAGAGAGGAAGATGGAAAGGGGAGGGTGGCTCGGCAGAGGTCCGGCCCCCTGCCCATGTCCACAGGGCAGAGAACCCTCTTTTAAGAATGTCGGATGAGGGCTGGGGATTTAGCTCAGTGCATAAGCACCTGCCTTGCAAGCAGGTGGTCATGAGTTCCATCCCCGGTACCAGGGAAAAAAAAAAAAAAAAAAAAGAATGTCAGGTGAAGACCGTCAAGTTGTATAAATGGGAAAAGAGTTTCATAATAGAGCTGGATTTGGATGCATCCTCCTGACTGCCAGGGCCAGTAAATTAGCCCCCATGCCAGGCTCTCTCAACAGAGAAATCCTATTGATAGTTACTAGATAACACTGCATTGGTCCACTTGGAGATCTTTCAGGAGATTTTAAACAGGAGCTGCAGTACATTTGAAATCTAAGTAGCCAGCAAATAAATCACTTGTAAGTTGCTTTCTGCACATGATGCCAATTAATCAGTATTTTGCTGTGTGTGCACATGCGTGTGCTACTGCACAGGACATACACGGGACAAGAAGTGGCTGAGAATCTCTCAGAGCCCCTGATGTCTTACGCACACTGAAAGCACACCCCTGGGGATCCAGAAGGCAAGTTGTGACTTACTAAGTCTATCACCTCTTTGGGTCTTTACATCTGAAAAGTGAGAGTTGTTTTTGGTTACCTATAAAGGAGCTGCTAGGTCCACACCCGGGGTTCTAGTTTTGTTAATTCTGGGGAATTCTTAACTTCTTTCTAATGTTTTGCTTTATAGGTATAGGGGTGGGGGGGGTGACTAAGGAAACCAAAGTGAGCTTCTGTTGCTTGCAAACCAGAGGCCTGACTGCCTCAGTAGGACTACATAATGACAGGTTCACACCAGGGGTCATCCTGGCTTCCTCCTGTCTGGCTCCACAATGAGTTCAGAATTTATATCCAAAATATACAACAGAGAATTTTAATGGCTTGGCATTTCTCAAGTAGTTACAGGGTGTCTTTCTAATAAGCAGATCTGATCATGTTACCTCTCTTGGAAAACCCTTCCAGAACTCACTGGCACCCTCAGATCAAGTCCACTTGGAGGTAAGATCCCGAAGTCTGCCTGTGCCCCGGTCCCTGGCGATATGCTCAGCTTCATCTTTAAAACCTCCCTGCCTCTTGCACCTCATGTCCATCAAACTGAACAGTGCTCCTCTGCATCCTGAGGCTCTGTGTTCCTCACGTGTGTTCTGCCCTCTCCCTAAGTCTTCCCGGTCCTTGGATGCTCAGCTGTCCTCCAGGCAGCCTTTCCTTGGCCACCTCTTTGCCCCACTCAGGAGAGGGTCCTTCCCCAGAGCCCTCTGCTACCCTCTCTTGCTACTTTCTCGCTCGGGGTCTTGAGGTCTTTGAGGCAGAGGCCAGGGATGTTTGTTTCTGAACTGCCAGTGCCTGCTTCAGGCGACTGTTAAGTCAAAGTGTTGAAAGTAAAGGCCAATTGGTCAGTAAAGGGCTTTCATGTGGCTCCTCTCCTCCTCGTTCTGTGGGATTAGAGACAAACTGAACTCCTTCTAGCTGAATGTGGGCAACTAAGCGATGCCAGTGAATTCCGTGAAATGGCCCTAAGGCAAGTTGGTCTTCAGGGAACTGATCTTCAGATGACTGACACTGGGTTGGCACATCCTCCTGTTCTGTCACAGTGCCTGGCACACAGCAGCCACACCATAAAAGCCAGTTGTTACTCACATTGCTGTTATTATCAGTGGTTATTTGAACATTCACTGAAAAATTGAGATCTTTCATGTACTGTGGTTTAAAATCATGAATGAACAAAAGAAAGAAAGAAGAAAACAATTATCCTTTTTTACTTAAAGCACTCTTCTTTCCCACACTACAAAAATCCTACTCATCCTTCAAGGCCTAGTTCGCAAGCCGCCTCTTCCAGGAGGCCTTCTGACACCATGTCTCCACAGCCCCTTCCATCCCACAGGACCTTCAGGATTCATTGCATCATCTGTTGTGTGGAGCCATAAAGTCCTTGAGCCAAGGAGCAGACTTTTACCTGAGGGCCTGGCGTACTGGAAGTGCCGTCTCGGGAATGCGCACTGAGGCACGCTGGGATTCCTGTCTGAGCTGTCACTCCCTGGCTGTGTTACCTCAGCCTCTCAGTTCTCCATCCCCTTCTACGACGAGAGGCTTGGAGAAGGTCAGCGATTCCCAAAGAGTGTTCTCGGGAATCGGTACAGTGAGCATAGGCATTTCCTCAGGTGGAGAGGGGAGTATGTGCCTGTTAGCAAAGCCAGTCAGGGCTGTGTTAAGCAAAGATTTTTTTTCATGTTCTATGTATTTGCTTTTAAGCTTCAGGGTTTCTCAGAGCCTTTTATATACGTACGTGTATTATGAATTCCCAGAAGGATAACAGAGAGTGTGAACTCTTTATGGTGAAACGTATCTAGGGGGCTGGGGTTCCAAAGAACATGTGAGGAGAACCAGGTCAGCCAGCTGCCTCAAGGGCCTTGTGAGTGTCTGCTGCTGGCCCAAGGTAGCACGCTGAGTACGGCCAGCTGAGGAAGGTCAGACACAGCCCTCACCTCAGCCTTCCCGCTGGGCGGGGAGCTTCAGTAGCCAGATGCTAGACAGGAAGAACAGCATCTGAAGAGAGCTGCAGACGGGGAGCCTGCATCCAGAGCAGACAGAGAGCACAGTAACCACAGGGATCCGGGGGGTCAGCAGAGTCACGGACAGTGCCCAGGAGGGTACCCAGAGGCACAAAGATGGAGGACACTGGGGCATAGAGAAGAGTGTTCTGACCAACCAGTATCGACAGGGCACAGAGAGGACAGCACAGGAATAAAGAGGCCCTGCATCTACCTCAGGAAGTGAGTGCATGTGAGGCCTTGGGGGTGAAGCCAGGGGAAAGGTCAGAGCCTCACCCCTGGAACCTTGGATGGCAGGCTGAGCCTGGGCCTCACTCCAACTGCAGATGGGGCCTGCAGACAGCGCTGGGCTGGGGGCAGGGTACCTCAGAGAAGAGAATCAGGCAGCCACCTAACTGTGGATGGGGAAAGAGTGAGACAGAGGGAAGGAGGTCCTGGTAAGGAGAGAAGCTGTGAAGACAAAACAGAACTGAATGGCGAGCTCTTCAAGAACCTGCATACGTGGTGCTGGTTTGCCTGGACCTGGAGGAGGGAAGGAGTGAGAGGGAGGAAGGGGGAGAGATCAAGTGCTTACTGAGCAACTGCCACACATCTGTGTGAGGCCCAGGACACAACCCGGCCGGAGTTACAGTCTCCACCACACAGTCTGCAACGAGCGAGGGCAGTACCCCTAAGTCAGTATCCACACACGATTGCAAACGGAGGTATTTTTAATAAAAGCACAAGCTGTTCATCAAGCCCATAGGAGGGGAACCAGGCCTGTGGAAGTTAGGATAGGCTTCTTGAGAGAGGTGCCTCTGGGCGGGGGATCCAACTTAACGGCACAAGCACCTGCCTGGCAAGCTCCAGGTCATGAGCTCCGTCCTCAGTACAAAAAAGAAGAAAAGATGTGCCCCAAGTGGAAGTGTGAGGATGAAGAGGATTTCAGCAGACACAGGTGGGAGCAGAACAGACCTCACAGTAAGAATGATATTCAAGGGGGTGAGGGTTACAGTGAATGGCTTGTGGTTTGAGTGGCTGGAAGGCACTGGTGCCACTCAGAGAAACAAGATCCCAGAGAACTCCCAGGACCCTGAACCCCCAAAAAGCAGCAGGTAGAGCAGCAGTGGAATTCCCAGCCCACCTCTCCATCCCCCTCTGAAACCCTGCACCAGGCTCCTGACCGTGCATGAAGTCCCAGATGGTGCGCTTCTCTCCTGAGAGGCAAACCACCGAGCAGTCTGGGGCCAGCCCGCCAAGCTCCGCTGTCTCCTCCAGCCGCTGCCAGCGGACCTTCAGGATGAACCAGAAATACTGGGTGCTGAAGAAGGTCGGGATCCAGTTGTCATGGCTGAACTGGGGGTTCCTGGTCATCCCAGTCTTCTCGCCCATAGCCAGGATGCTCTTCTTGATTCTCTCTGGAAACAGTGTCATTAGCACTTTGCCCATGGCTACCTCCACAGCCACCTGCACGAGCACCCAAAGCCTCTTCAGCCACAGGCCTGGCCAGGTCAGCCCCATCTCTGTGGCACAGCTGGTGCAGGCTCTGAGGCTGGTGGAAAGGGAGTCTGCAGCCAGGCACTGCAGGGCGGGGCTGAGCAAAGGTACGGAGCAGAGCAGCCAACCCCAGACCAGAGACAGGTGTCAGGGGGAAGGTGTTTGCCTTCCTGTCAGTAAAGCAGAAGATTCTGAACCAGCCGCACAAAGGTCTGTCCTAACTTACTGTCATTTCAGATTCTGTGCCTTAGCTTTTGAGACAGCTTTGAATTGGGACATTGTAGATCTTAAATTCTGCCTTTAAGCTTTAAAAACAAATACTTAAAAAGATCCACACTTAAAGAGATCCTGTTTAAAGATCATATTGCAAGTAAATAGCTTCTAAAATTAATTACTCTTTTAATAAGATAAATGATTCTTCCACTAAAAAAGTATAGTTTTCTGGCTCACAGCTTTTGGTTGGTGATTGAATATTTCTAGAGGCCTTGCCAGAGAATAAGGATGTAGACCCACTTGGGGCAGGGACAGACCTGAGGTCATCCCCAAGATTTGGGACCTGTAACCCCCTTAGCACCTCTCTGCTGTCCAAGAGGTTCTGTTCTAGTGCAGAGAAGGGGCACGTAAACAGAAAATTACCATTTACTATGTTGGGGGAGAGGCAGAGGATGGGCGTGGCTAGGGGAGTGTGGAGAAGGGCTGCTAGTTCTTTTTTTTCTTTTTTATTTATTTATTTATTTATTTATTTATTTAGTCTTTTTCCTTTTTAGCGGTACCAGGGATCAAACTCAGGACTGCCTGCTTGTAAGGCAGGTGCTTATGCCGCTGAGCTAAATCCCCAGCCCCTGGGCTGCTAGTTCTTTCAAAGAGGTCAAGAGGACTTCCCCTGAGGCAGGGATGTCTATGCTGAAGCCAGAAAGACAGTAAGCAGTCAGCCGGGCAAAGGAGGGGCCGCAGTCCTGTGGGGAGGAAGTGCAGCGCCAGACTCCGAGGTGGAAGCTCGGAGGTGGAGGGTAAGGCAGTTAAAGCCGCTTCTTTTTGAAATGGGAACTGAAGCCTAGAAAAGGGGAAGCGTCCTGCCCGCAGCCAGGTCTGGTCTCAGTAATCTCTAGGTATTAGGTCACCCCTCCCCAAAGCATTCACATACCTAAACAGAAAGGGCGGTTGGTACAGGAGACCTGAACCGTGGCAGGAAAGCTGGCTACCACTCCAAAAGGTGTTGACCTAGGCCCTGGGGTCTAATAATCTACTACATTAACTTTTGTTTTATTTTTTGAGACAAGGTCTCACTGTGTAGTTCAGTTTGGCCTTGAACTCACTGTGTAGCCCAGGCTGTCCTCAAATTTACAGCAATCCTCCTGCCTCAGCCTCTAGGCTGCTGGGATTACAAGCATATGCCGCCACAGCCAGTTTACATTAACTTTATTAAAGAAGGAATAAAAAAAGTAGCTCCAAAAGATGTTCCGTTTTGGAGCATTTCATTGCAATGCCTAGTGTGGTACTTACAAAATATAGCACTTGACTCTTACGTGCAGTGTTTTTTGCCAGATACAAAGAACTCCTCGTATATCCTTGAGTCGTTCAGGCTTTTATTTTCTTTTTCTCACTTTTTAAAATTTTGTTTTCCAAGTTTTATTTTCTAATAGGTCTATCTTTCTCTCTTTTTTTTTAAGACCACTTTTAGGTTCGCCTCAAAATGGAGCAGAAAACATAGAGTTTCCACATACTCCCCACTGTCAGACACACACATCTCTCCTTTATCAACACTCTGTATGGAGTGGTAATGTTTGACAATCAGGGAACCTCAGCAGACACAACGTAACAACCTTGTGTCCTCAGGGTTTGCTGGAGTTCACTCTCAGAACTGTCTTTCCATGGGTTTGGACGGGATGTATAATGACAGGTATCCTCATTACAGTATCACGTAGAGTAGTTTTGGAACTGTGACTCCACATCCATTGCTTACACCCAAGAAGGCCAATGACTCAGTTTGTAGGGGGAGGAAAAAGATATATTTAGAAAATATATACCAACAAAGAGCATCCTGCTTAGGGTTTGCAGGCACAAGACTTAGTGTAGGGAGGAGTATTAAACAGGCATGAGCCAGGGAAGTTCCAAAGCCCAAGGCAGCTCCACATTTCCCAGCTGTTCTTATTTGTTGGTCACTATGTATTCTAGGCTGAAAAGTTACAGTTACAAAGTCTTATGACACGTGTCCATTTAGTTCCTTTCCCCAGCAACAGTTAATCATTACTAGGATCCAAAAGGCATCTTTTCTCTGGAAACTGAGATGATAGCAAAAGGCTACTTTTCCCTCAGGAGGACAGTGGAAGAGATAGTGAAAAGGAACTTTTCCTTGAACTACAGGGAGATGACATTCACCGGAGAATAGTTTTTTACCTACTAGGTGTCTTCAGTTACAGCAAAGCTGGGGGAAAATACTAATGCATTTCCCAGATGTGTGACTCCCACTTTTTTTTTTTTTTGAGACAGAGTTTTTCTAAGTCATTAAGTAGCCAGGCTGGTCTCTGGGTTCATAATCCTGTTGCCTCAGCCTCCCCCAGTGTTGGGATTACAGGTATGCACCACCACTCCTGACTCCAGAATTAGTGAATTTTAAAAGTCAACTAAGGGCAAATGGACCTGAAGGGTTTACTTAGGATCTTCCAGGTTAATACTGCTACTGGCCTAAAAATCTCTGGTTCTTTATTTATTGTTTCTGCATACCCCAACCCCTCAGCAAACACTCATCTTTTTACTGTCTCCATAGCTTCACCTTTTTGAGAGTATCAGATAGTTGGGGTCATGCTGTATAAGCTTTTCCACATTGGCTTCTTTTACTTAGTAATATGCAATTAAGTTTCTTTCAAATCTTTACCACTTGATAGCTTATTTCTTTTTGTGCTAAATAATGTTCCATTGTCTGGACATACCACTCATCTGCTAAAAGACACTCATCTGTCCACTCATCTGCTAAAAGACATATTTATTGCTCTCAAAATTTTACAATTATGCCAGCACTTGGGAGGCTGAGGCAGGAAGATCATTGTGAGTTCGAAACTGGTCTGGGCTACAAAGTCAGTTCAAGGCCAGCTGAAACTCATAGTGAGACCCTGTCTCAAACCAAATTGACAATTATGAACAAAACTACTCTAAATACAATGTGCAGACTTTTGTGTGGATATAAGTTTTCAACTCATTTGATGATACCAGTAAGCATAATTGCTGAATTGTATGATGAGTATGTTTAGATTTGCAAATAACCACCACCCTGACTTTTAAAATGGCCCTGCTATTTTGCATCCTTGTCCTGTTGTTCTACATCTTTGCTAGCATTTGGATGTCAGTTTTTGCATTTTTGCTACTCTGATACTTGTATAGTGGTAGCTCATTTTAATTGCCATTCTTTAATGCCTATGAGACTGAGCATCTTTTTACTTTCTTTTTTTTTTTTTTTTTTTTGTCTTTTTTGTTTTTACCGGTACCAGGGATCGAACTCACGACTGCTTGCTTGCAAGGCAGACTCTTATGCCCCTGAGCTAAATCCCCAGCCCCTGAGCATCTTTTTATATAGAGACGCTCCTGCTCCTCAACTTATGATGAATCTATGTCCTGATAAACTCCTTGCAGGTTTAAAATATCCTGAGCTGAAGATGCATTAATACACCTGTGATAGTTAACTGTGGTGTACATATGAACGAGAAATGCCCAGCTGACTGATTTAGCAGTTCTGGGTATATCTGGATGACTGACTGAGGAGGGAGGACTCACCCAGGAGACGGGTGGCACCAACCAGTAGGCTTGTGGCCTGCATGGCATAAAAGGAACAGAAGCTTCATGTTTGGGGTGTACACTTAATGTGCTCATTGTCTTCACATTAAACAAGTAAAAGAAATTTTTTAAAAGGGAGAGAAAAAAATCTCACATCTTATTGTTTTGGGGAGCTCTTTGCCATCACCTCTGGAGGTCTGTGTCTGTGCTTCCAATGCAGATTCTTCAGCCTTGCAGTGCAGACTCTTCAACCTTCCAACATTACAGTTCCTTTCCAAAGCATTCCCCAAATGGCAATGGTGAAGAGAAATCTTCACAGTAGCTGAACTTTGGCCGGTGTACCTGGTCATATATTTTGCCTGAAAGGAAAAATGTCCAGATGGGCAAGTATATACTGATTCATGGGCTATTGCCAGAAGTCTGGCTGGCTGGTTAGAGACTTGGAAGAAACACTACTGGAAAACTAGTGACACCAATAAGCTCATGAACAAAATGGCCATGATGGCAGAGATGGAAGTTATTCATGGGCTCAACAATATAGACTCGCCAGGGATGACTTGGTTTTGGGCACTGCTGAATGCCCAATATGCTCCATGCAGAGACCAACACTGAGTCCTTGAGATGGCACCATTCCCTGGGGTAGTCAGCCTGCAGCCTTGTGTCTGGTTGACTATATTGGACTGTTTTCATTATGGAAAGGGTTGCACTTTGCTCTTACTTCCATAGACACTTATTCCTTGTATGAAATTTTTTTAAAAGCAGGGTAATTTTTTTTTTTTGGTACTGGGGATCAAATTCATAACCACACACTTGCAAAGCAGGCACTTATGCCACTGAGCTAAATCCCAAGCTCCTGGATTTTTCTTAATGGTAGCAAAATTTATTAAAGGTAGGAAAAAAAACCAGATTCTGCAGAATTACTATCTTAATTACTTTTTTCTCATTGTTGAGACAAAATACCTGATGCCCAAAATGAAGGAAGGAAAAGTTTATTTCTTACTATTTTGGAGTCTTCAGTCCATACTTAACTGGCTCCAAGGGGCAGGGTGGTGTGGTGGGCCACTGTTTATGGGCATCACAAATAGCAAGAGGGAACAGAGTACAAGAGAGATATACCTTCTTCATGCTGTTACACTGTATGCTAGCTCCACTCTGGGGCAGGTATAGCACTCATACCACCAGTCCAAGCACTAGACAGTGAACCAATCACAAATGCTAGATTTGGTTGCATCCATGATTGCATGAGGCTTGGGGGA